AAGATAGTTATTTGGTGCAAAAATATTTCCAACAGATCACTTAATAGATGCAAACATGAAATCATACCTTTTACAAGGGAGAGATTCTGTGGTAACAAAACCTAGCATGGAAATCAAACTCAGCATCACTAATAGTGGGCACAATTTATATCATGTGCCTTCCTGATTTAAAGCAAAAAGAAGTTTACGACATCATCTATGATCTAAATGTTTAACTCAGTCTAGTTTACAAGAAATAAAATGACACCAGGAGGAAGGAATCAGACAAATCTAGAATATGAAACAAGACAACTGGGCCATGTCTGTAAAAAGCTAATGTCATTCCTGACACTGGTTTTTCTTCCATCTTAATTAGTCAGTCTGGACAGAGATTTGTCAACTTTACTGATCATTTCAAGAAACTAGCTTTTGGTTTCACAAATTTTCTCAACTTTTATTTTCAATTTAACTGATTTCTACTTTTTATTATTTGTCCATTCTGCTTGGTTAGCTTGAATTTGCTTTATACGTCTAGTTTCTTAAGGTGGAATCTTAGATTTTGAGACTTACTGACTTGCCTAATGTTATACACACTTAATACATTTTCCACTTAGTACATTTTCCACTTCATAAGAACTTAATACATTTTCCACTAAACATTGCATTAGATGGGTCCTACAAATATTTAGATATTGTGTCTTCATTTTCATTTAATTAAAATATGTTCTAATTTCCTTTTAGACTTCCTCATTGACCCATGGGTAAAAATGTATTATTTCCAAATATTAGGGGATTTTCCAGATACCTATTATTAATTTCTAACTGAATACTGTTAGAGTCAGCAAAGATCCTTTGTATGATTTCAATTATTTCAAATTTGATAAAGTTTCTCTTATAGACCAGAATATGTTCTATATTTATACATCTTCCATGTATGCTTGAAAATAATATGTATTCTGCTGTTATTAGGTACAGTGTTCCATAAATATCAGGGCAGGCTGGATGATAGTACTGTTCAGGTCTTCTATATCCATACTGATCTGCTACCTACTTGCTTCATCAATTACTGAGACAGGGGTGTTGAAGACTTGAACTATAATTGTGAATTGGTTCACTCTACCTTTCAGTTCTATCAGTTCAGGCTAATGTTCCTGTTAGCATACATGTATTAGGTGACACACATTCATAAGCACATATCATCTTAAATAGGATTGTTATGTCTTCTTGGCAAACTATTATTATAGATAGTCCTCTTTACTCCTGGTGCTATTCCTTGTTCTGAAGTCTACCTCGTCCGTGATACCAGGCTTTCTTTTGCTTAGATTTCCACATGATATCCTTTTCATCCTTTTAATTTTTTTTCAGTTGAAATTAAAATATTGGGCCATGCGTGGCGGCTCGCACCTGTAATCCCAGCACTTTGGGAGACCGAGACGAGTGGATTATGAGGTCAGGAGTTCGAGACCAGCCTGGCCAATATGGTAAAACCCTGTCTCTACCAAAAATACAATAAATTTGCTAGGCGTGGTTGCATGCACCTATAGTCCCAGCTGCTCGGGAGGCTGAAGCAGGAGAACTGCTTGAACCTGGGAGGTGGAGGTTGCAGTGAGCCAAGATCATGCCACTATACTCCTGCCTGGGTGACAGAGCAAGATTCCATCTCAAAAAAAAAAAAAAAAAAAAAAAAGAAAGAAAATATTGGTGTCCAATAATTAGAAGTAGACCATCATTCACTCCTAGAAATTCACTGTGGGGAAAAGTCACTGTCATTAGTTATCAAGCTCTATGCATTTCCAGTAGCTACACAGCAACCTACTTTGGCCTCTGTAATTTCTAATCTTTGCAACTGAGCACATTAAATTGAGCTAACCTAACCAAATACCACATCCCCAAATTACATCTAATCTTAGCTGTGGATAATTGCCCCCATATTCATCCTCACAGCCCATGGTCTAAGCTGCTCTCCCATTAATCTACTAAACACTGATATTCCAAATTCATGTCTCTTATCTCTTAATCCCCTTGCCTTTGGGCTACAGTTCTATAGGCCATTGGTCTGATATTCTGTTGAGACTCACTTCTCTTCCTGCCACCCAACCTGCTCTGCTTGACTTCATGTTGCATTCTCCTTCGTAAGTCTCAATGCAACCACAACTCTAATCAAGACCTGCCTAAACCCAGACATAAGTGAATTTCCTAATCCTCCCAGGCTCCTCATGCAAACCAGATCACTTGTTGCTGGTTCTACCCTGACCCTCACCAATAGGTTCTAGTACTGGGACTTTATATGTTCCCCCATAAACTCTTCTACTGCAATTACTCAAATGTGTCATGTTTCCTTGAGCTCTATACTGTCATTTATTTCACCTTTTTTTTTTTTTTTTTTTTTTTTTTTTGGGAGATAGATTTTCTCTTTTTTTGCCCAGGTTGGAGTGCAATGGCATGATCTTGGCTTACTGTAACCTCACCCTCCCGAATTCAAGTGATTCTCCTGCCTCAGCCTCCTGAGTAGCTGGGATTACAGGAAGGCACCACCGCACCTGGCTAATTTTGTATTTTTAGTGGAGACGGGGTTTCTCCATGTCGGTCAGGCTGGTCTCAAACTCCTGACCTCAGGTGATCCACGTGCCTCGGCATCCTAAAGTGCTGGGATTACAGACGTGAGCCATTGCGCCTGGCCTCATCTTTTTTAAAACAATTTACTGAAGCAAAATTCTAATGATCATTTTTAATACTGTTTATTTAACTTCAAAAACATTTCAGCATTCTAAACATACCAAGAAAAACCCCAGAACACTGAAAATCACATTTAAGTACAGAAGGTTCTTGAACTTTCACTGATGCAGTGGCTCTTCATTTTGCAGTCAACAGTTTTATAGCTTGTTCAAAAGTTTAACTAAAAAAATCCAAACACTTCTCAGGCTAGCTAACCCCTCTTTGTCCACAGCTAAGAATGGTAGCAGAGTGATACACTACCATATGTAAAAACAGGACAAGCTGAAGCTAAATGGATAAACATTGCAGGGGAAACAGGACTAGCCTCACAGTGCACACTCTAAGCTATGACCCCTCCAAAAGGTGTTGTCCCCACAGGCTCAGTGCCAAGAAATGAGCACCAAGAGTTTGTCTTGGTTGTTTTGCTCTTTTTACAAACAATATATATTTACAGTTGATAACTGGATTTCTGCCAATAACCATAGTTGACACCACTTTACAAATGCTTTTTAAAATGCCAGAAACATCTTTAAATGCCTTGTCACACCAACAGCAAAGTGCATAGAGTGAGGAAAACACAAGATTATCTTTGTATTTTTAGGATGTTTGGAAATATATACAACTTTGATACAATTTCAGAGTGTTCCAGACACACATGGCCACTTCATGTAAACCACTGACAAATTTTAGAGCACTCTCTCATATAACTGTGACTGAATTTTATAATTAAACCTAATGAAGGGAACAGACATTTCTCAAACAACCAAAGTGTCAATTATGGCATTTCCCTACTCTAAGGTACTCACAAGGAGACAGATAAACAGTTTTTTATTCATCATCACCTTCTTCTTCCTCTTCCTCCTCCTCTTCTTCCTCCTCCTCATCCTCTTTGCCTTCTTCTACGTTTTTCCAGGGAACTTTAGCAGAACCCTTTGTATCAGACTTGCTGTTAGACTTAAAGTCAACAACATCCTTCTCATATTTCTCCCTCAGCCTCACTGCCTTAGTGATGCAAGGCTGCTTTTCACTGACACTTAAGTTATTTCACATCTCACCCAGCTTTTTTTTTTTTTGCTACATCTCTAATAAAGATGCCAGGGTTTGTGGATTTGATCCTGGGGCAAAATTCTGAACAGTAAAGGAAAAATCCAGACGGTGGCCTTTTGGGAACACGAAGGTCCTTCTTCTTGCCTCACTCAGCTGGTTGACAATCCTTCATCTTCCAATCATAGCATACTTTATCTGCCTTTGTCATTTCATCGAATTTAGGTTCTCTTTCCCAGACATTGTCTTCCACCTCTCACAGCAGTTCTTGGAAAATTCTGCAAAATTGACAGAGACCTCTGGATTTTTCTTACATTCTTCTCTGCATGTCTGCACAAAGAAGGCAGAAGCAGGCATCTTTCCCTCTGGTTTCTTGGGGTCACTTTTAGCCATCCTGACTAAATTGCTCCTTCCTTCCTGGTCACCCAGCAAAAGGGAAGATGAAGGGGGCAAGAAGGGTACATGGAGGAGGGGCCGGGGGATCAAATAACCATTTTTTAGCGGGGGGTGGGGGAGGAAGAGTGATAGAATTTCTCCCTGTCGCCCAGGCTGGAGTGCAGTGGCACAATCTCAGCTCACTGCAACCTTCACCTCCCACGTTCAAACAATTCTCATGTCTCAGTCTTCCAAGTAGCTGGGATTAGAGGTGTGCACCACCACGCCCAGCTAAATTTTATATTTTCAATAGAGATGGGATTTCACCATGTTGTTCAGGCTGGTCTCAAACTCCTGGCCTTAAGTGATCCGCCAATCTCGGCCTCCCAAATCGTTGGGATTACAGGTGTGAGCCACCATGCCTGGCCTTAAATAACCATTTTAAAGTGAACAAATGAGGGTCTTACCATACATTAAGAATGTTGTACAGCCGGGCACGGTGGCTCACGCCTGTAATCCCAGCACTTTGGGAGGCCGAGGCGGGTGGATCACGAGGTCAAGAGATCGAGACCATCCTGGTCAACATGGTGAAACCCCGTCTCTACTAAAACTACAAAAAATTAGCTGGGCATGGTGGTGCGTGCCTGTAATCCCAGCTACTCAGGAGGCTGAGGCAGGAGAATTGCCTGAACCCAGGAGGCGGAGGTTGCGGTGAGCCGAGATCGCGCCATTGCACTCCAGCCTGGGTAACAAGAGCAAAACTCCTCCCCCAAAATCCCCAAAAAAAAAAAAAAAAAAAAAAAAAAGAATGTTGTACAACCACCCATATTTAGTTCCATATCATTTCCATCATTCTAAAGTAAAACCCCTTACCTATTAAGCAGTTAATTGTCCTTCACCCACCACCACCTTCTGGAAACCACTAATCTATGTTCTGTTCTCTTTAGATTTATCTATTCTAGAGTATTTCCTATAAATGGAATCATACAATATGTGATCTTTTGTGTCTGGCTTTTTTCACTTAGCTTAAGATTTTGGAAGTTCATCTACTTTACAGCATGTATTAGTACTTCATTCCTTTTTATGGCTGAATAATATTCCATTGCATGTATACAACAATTTGCTTATCCATTCACCACTGATGGACTTTTGGGCTGAGTCTACTTTTCTGTGAATACTGCTGCTACAAACGTATATATGCGTACTTGTTTGAGTGCAAACATTCTCTTACTTTGGGTACATACCTATGAGTTGAATAGCAGGGTACCGTGGTAATTCTATGCTTAACTTTTTGAGAAACTGTCAAACTGTTTTTCACAGCAGCTTTACATTTCATTTTATATTCCTACCAAAAAACATATGAGGGTTTCAACTTCTCCACTTCATTGCCAATATGTTTTTTAAAAAATTACAGCCATCCATTACAATGGATGTGAAGAGGCACCTCACCATGGTTTTGCTCTGCATTTCCCTCATGACTAATGATACTGAACATCTTTTCATTTGCTTTTTGGCCATCTGTATACCTTCTTTGGAGAAAAGTCCACTCAAGTCTTTCACCCATTTTATAACTGGGTTGTCTTTTTGTTGCTGAGTTTTAAGAGTTCATGATATATTCTAGATGGTAGATCCTTATCAGTTCTAACTTGCAAATATTTTCTGCCATTCTACAGGTTGCCTTTTCACTTTCTTAATCTCTTTTGATGCACAAAAAGTTTTCATTTAGATGAAGTCCAATTTATCTTCTCTTTTGTTGCTCATGCCTTTGGTGCCTAAGAAGCAATATCTAAAACCACTGCCAAATCCAAGGTCATAAAGATTTATCTCCATGTATTCTTCTAAGGGTTTTATGGTTTTATAACCATAAAAATGTTATTTTTAAATCGTAACATTGGCTGGACATGGTGGCTCATGCTTGTAATCTCAGCACTTTGGGAGGCTGAGGCAGGCAGATCGCTGGAGTTCAGCTTGAGGCCAGCCTGGGCAACATGGCGAAACCCGGTCTTTATAAAAAATACAAAAACTAGTTGGGCATGGTGGCATGTGCCTATAGTCCCAGCTACTTGGGAGGCTGAGGTGAGAGGATCACTTGAGCCCAGAAGTTAAGGCTGCAGTGAGTTGTGATTGTGCCCTTACACTCCAGCCTGGCAACAGAGAAACACTCTGCCTAAAACAAAACAAAACTGTAAAATCTATCAACTATTGACCTGTTTTTAGTTAATTTTTGTATATAGTGTGTTTTAGGAGTCTAATTTGATTCTTTAGCAGGAGAACATCCAGTTTTCCCAGCATCATTTGTTGAAGAGACTATTCATTCCTAAATGAATGTTCTTAGCACCCTTGTGGAAAACCAACTGGCCATAGATGTATGGGTTTACTTCAGGACTCTAAATTCTATTCCATTAATCTGTGTGTCTATCCTTATGCCAGTGCCACTTTGACTACTCTAGCTTTGTATTAAGTTTTCAAATCAGAAAGTGTGAGTCCCCTAACTTGTTCTTTCTTTTCAAGATTGTTTGGCTATTCAAGGCCACTTGCAATTCCATGTGAATTTTAAGATCAATTTTTGCATTTCTGCAAAAGTCCATGGGAACTTTGATAGATTTGATAGGATTGAATGTGTAGGTGATTTTGGGTAGTATTGACATCTTAATATTAAGACTTCCTATATATAAATATCAGATATATTTATGTCTCCTTTATTTTGACAGAAATAAACATTATTTCAGTTTTCAGCATACAAGTCTTTACCTTCTTGGTTAAATTTATTCTTATGCACTTTATTCTTCTGGAAGCTACTGTGAATGGGCTTTTTTTTCCTTAATTTCCTTCTCTAATTGCTTACTGCCAGTGCATTCTTTTACTTTTAACCTACGAAGATCTTTGTACTTAAAGCAAATCTCTTTTTTTTTTTTTTTTGAGACAGAATCTCTCACTCTGTCACCCAGGCTGGAGTGCAATGGCACGATCTCGGCTCACTGTGACCTACGCCTCCCAGGTTCAAGCGATTCTCCTGCCTCAGCCTTCTGAGTAGCTGGGATTATAGGTGCACACCACCACGCCCAGCTAATTTTTGTATTTTTAGTAGAGACGGGGTTTCAACATTTTGGCCAGGCTGGTCTCAAACTCCTGACCTTGTGCTCCACCTGCCTCGGCCTCCCAAAGTGCTGGGATTACAGGTGTGAGCCACTGTGCCGGGCCTTTTTTTCTCACTCTGTCACCAGTCGCCAAGCTGGAGTGCAATGGCACAATCTCGGCTCACTGCAACCTCTGCTTCCCGGGTTCAAGCAATTCTCCTGCCTCAGCCTCCCGAGTAGCTGGGACTACAGGCAAATACCAACATGGCCTGCTAATTTTTGTATTTTTAGTAGAGACGGGGTTTCACCATGTTGGCCAGGATGGTCTTGATCTCTTGACCTCGTGATCCGCCCGCCTCGGCCTCCCAAAGTGCTGGGATTACAGGCTTGAGCCACTGCGGCCGGCCAAGCAAGTTTCTTAGAATAAGTTTTGACTTTTTATCCAAACTTATATTTGGTATATTTAAAATATTTACATTTAATATCATTATTGATATGGTTGGAATAAAATCTATAATCTTCTGAAGTTTTCTAACTGATCCATTTACTTGTTGTTTCTTTTTTTTTTCCCATCTGATTAAATACATTTTTAAATGACTCAATTTTATCCCTGTTATTTGCTACTTAATTATATATATTTCTTTCAAAAGATTTTGGTGGTTTCCCTAGGGTTTATCAATATACATTTTACTGTTCCTTGAACATCACGAACTTATTCCTTGATCAAGGCCTTTCTACTAGGTGTATGTTCTATCTGGAGTATTTCTTCCCAAATCTTCAAATAGTTTCCATCTTCACATCACTGAGTCTCTGATCAAATGTTAGCTCCTCAGGGAAGCTCTCAAAACTAGATTATCTACAGTAGCACCTGTACATACCACCTCTCTTCTGCTTCATTTTTATTTTTCTTCATCACCTTATCACCACCTGAAATTATATTTGTTTAATGTGTCTCCCCAACTAAAACACTTCATGTAATAGCAGCCTTCATTTTTCTTATTTACTATTACTGTACCTTCAGCATTTAAAACAATACTTTGCACATTATTTTTCAAATGAATATATGAATAAGTTCATTCCATTATAAGATTACCTCATACAGGACTAAGGAAATACAAGTGTTTACACAAACTGAACCTGATATATTTATGATAAATTACAGGTTAAAGAAATAAGTTGTTACCTTTCTCGTGACTAAACTGGCTCCTACTTATATTTGGCAAAAAGGAGAAAGAAAGGAACTATAAACAAAATCTGGGTCAAAAAATAACTCTTTAAATGTCTATTTGATATAGTCTTTGCAATGAAAGAATTTTAAAGTTAAAAAAGATTTGAACCACAATAAGATACTACTCCACACCTACTGTGATAGCTATTACTTAAAAAACAAAAGCAAAAAAAACAGAAAATAACAAGAGTTGGCAAGGATATTAAAAAATTGGAACCCTTGTACACCGCTTGTGAGAATGGAAAATGGTACAATTATTATAGAAAAATCTGACACATCCAAAAAAGTTAAACATAAAATTACTTTTCATTCAGCAACTCCACTTCTAGGTATACGCCCAAAAGAATTAAGAGCAGGACCTCAAACAGATACCTATAGGGCAATGTTCATAGCAACATTATCCACAATAGTTAAGAGGCAGAAAGAACCTAAATGTCCATCAACAAACAAACAGATTAAAAAAACGTAGTATATACATAAAATGGAATTTTATCAGCCATGAAAAGGAATGAGATTCTGATACATGCTGCAATGATGGACTAAGAAAACATTCTGCTTAGTGAAACAAGCCACACACAAAAGGACAAATGTTGTGTGATTCCACTTATATGAGTTACCCAGAATAGGCAAATTCATAGAGAGAGAAAGTAGAATAGAGGTTACCAGGGGCTGGGGAGATGGGAAAAGATTATTGTTACTAGACACAGAGCTTCTGTTTCTAGATGACGAAAAGGTTTTAGAAATGAACAGTGGAGATGGCTGCACAATATTATAAATGTACTTAATGCCACTGAACTGTACACTTAAATGGTAAATTTTAAGTTGAATATATTTTATCACAATAAAAAAATCAGACCGAGCAATTCTACTGCTGTATCCCAAAGAAATCAGTATGTCAAAGAGATATCTGTACTCCCACATTTACTGCAATACTACTCACAAGAGTCAAGATATGGAATCAATCTAAATCTCCATCAACAGACAAATGGATAAGGGAAATGTGGTGTGTATGCACAATCAACTACAATCCTTTGGGAGAAGGTTCAAGATGAATGACTAGAGCTGTCCAACGCCAGCTCTCTTCAGAAAGAAGAACCAAAGTTACAAGTGAATAACCAATTTAATGTGAATAGACTAACAAGCAGAGAGTGTTGGGGCCTAGTAGAGAACTCTTGAGAAGAAACTGGGGCACAGAAAAAGAAAGCAAGAGGCTGGCAGAGATCAGCTAGAAACGCTGAGGGACTTGGTATTTAGTTGAAAGGGTAGGTGGGAGTGTTTTGGGCTTCTCATTCCCCACTGACAAACCGTTGGTATCCGAACTGTCGGAGAGCTCTTCTACCGCTGCAAACCCAGACACTGGTGTGAACAGTGATGTGGGAACTTACTGAGGGCACTGCACCAGACTACCAATTTGCACTGGGTTGCTTACTCTGCCTCTGGACTCGAGCAGCAGCAATAGGGCACCATACTGGGAGCACAGCCATCAGAGGTCTGTGTCCTGCTGAGGGAACCTCAGCCTTTGTGTCTCCAAATCACCAGAGCCCCATAGATATTCCCTGGCACCTGCTCAGATTGTGGCAGCAGCAAAGAGCTGGCTGGACCCAGCGAGCTGCAGGGTTCCTAAGCAAGTGCTGCCCTGAAGAGAAAAACAAGTATGGTGCACCAAGAGAGTGCCCACTGGGACAAAGGAAACCAGAACACACACTTTCCTGTGCCCAAGAGCTCACCACCAGTGGGATGTGAGTGACTGTGCTGCATCCAGCAAAGATGTGGGCAATGTGCTTGGCTCTGCAAGACTCTGCAAGTATGATTTCATCCCAGGGACCAACCTGCAGTGAATGCTCGGACCCGGGCATGGAGATGGGAACTCCTCCCTACCCCCACTGCTGTAGACATATCCATGGCTGATCCCACAGGAAACTGGCATGAGCACGTCAGAGGGCAAACTTTCGGGGGCAGACAGGGGTGACTGTGGTCTTACTGGCATTCAGTCCACCACATCTAAGCTTGTGCAAAAGGTGAGAACCCCTTCCCGTCTCCATACAGGGCAGCAGTGTTCCTGCAAGGGAAAGAAGGACAGCCAAAAAGCTGTGTGTTTTGGACTGAGGGAGAAGATTTCAAAACAAAGACATTCTGACAGCAAGCCATGGGGCAGTCATCTTTTATGTCTCTCAGCTACACTGCAGTCTGGAGACAGACAGTGGTGTCTGACCAGTTTGAGTATTCTGAGTATGGGGACCTGGGCATGACAGGAAGGGAGATCACATTCCTGCCTGCTCAGGCTATGGAGCTGGGATGGCTCCCTGCCTCACTGCAGAGACCTCAGTGTACTTATCAGGAGCTTCTCTGCCACCCCCATCAGGACTACTGCTTGTACTTACCATTGGGGCATCCAAGGGCAGGCGTGGCTGACCTTCTCTGCCATGACTTGTCCCCGGCTAGAGGGTGAGCAGAGAGCTCAAGCCACTGTATGTTTCACAGCCCAGCCCACTACCCGAAGCAATAGCGAGCTTTCCTCAGTAAACAAAGATCAAGCACCTGCCCATCTGCTTCTGTTGCAGCAGGCTCTTACCCACAACCACCACCTACTGTCCTGGAGGCTGAAATGTACAACCCAATAGAAAATCTGCTGACACAAGTGCACAGCACTGAGTAATGAGATGATTCTTGAGACTGCTGCCATCTCAGCCCTGCAGGAAGCTATGATACTGCTCATATACCCAGTACACTGCTACTACAACTAACATATGAGAAAACCACCACACAAAGGCTATATTCAAAGAACTCATACAGAGTATCTGTCAAGGAAGCACCCAGAACCAAAGCCAAATGATCTTACATAACATATATTACAGTTATATCCTTAAGGGGAAAAAATTCCTGTCCAAACGAAAGTAAATTCAAAAATAATAATAAGAGATAGTTTATCCATATGAGAAGGAAACAGCAAAACAATTCTGGAAGAATAAAAACAGTGGTATGACACCCTCAAAGATTCAAACTAAATCTTTAGCAATGGATCTTAACCAAAATGAAATCTTTGAAATACCAGATAAAGAATTAAAAATACTAATTCCCAAGAAGTTCAATGAGATCTAAGAGAAAGCTGAAAATCAACACCAAGAAATATGAAAATCAAGTCTGGAAATGAAAAAAATCACTGAAGAAATTATAAAATATCATTCAGGACTTAGGCATGGGCAAGGACTTCATGACTAAAACACCAAAGGCAATGGCAACAAAAGCCAAAATAGACAAATGGGATCTAATTAAACTTACGAGCTTCTGCACAGCAAAAGAAACTATCAATAGAGTGAACTGGCAACCAACAGAATACGAAAAAATTTTTGCAATCTAGCCATCTAATAAAGGGCTAATATCCAGAATCTATGGAGAACTTAAATTTACAAGAAAAAAAACAAAAAACCACCATCAAAAAGTGGGCAAAGGATATGAACAGATGCTTTTCAAAAGACATTTATGCATCCAACAAACATGAAAAAAAGCTCATCATCACTGGTCATTAGAGAAATGCAAACCAAAACCACATTGAGATACCACCTCATGCCAGTTAGAATGGCGATCATTAAAAAATCAGGAGACAACAGATGCTGGAGAGGATATGGAGAAACAGGAACACTTTTACACTGTTGGTGGGGGCGTAAATTAGTTCAACCACGTGGAAGACAGTGTGGCAATTCCTCAAGATCTAGAAACAGAAATACCATTTGACCCAGCAATCCCATTACTGGGTATATACCCAAAGGATTATAAATCATTCTGTTATAAAGACACATGAACACGTATATTTATTGAGGCACTGTTCATAATAGCAAAGACTTGGAACCAACCCAAATGCCTATCAATAATGGATAAAGAAAATGTGGCACATACACACCACAGAATACTATGCAGCCATAAAAAAGGACAAGTTCATGTCCTTTGCAGGGACATGGATGAAACTGGAAACCATCATCCTCAGCAAACTGACACAAGGACAGAAAGCCAAACACCGCATGTTCTCACTCGTAAGTGGGTGTTCAACAACGAGAACATATGGACACAGGGAGGGGAACATCACACACTGGGGCCTGGGGTGTAGGGGGCTAGGGGAGGAATTGCAGGGGGCGGGGGGATTGGGGAGGGATAGCATTAGGAGAAATATCTAATGTAGATGACGGGGCCATGGATGCAGCAAACCATCACCATGGCATGTGTACACCTATGTAACAAACCAGCACTCTCTGCACATGTATCTCAGACCTAAAAGTATAATAAATAAATATACAACTGATACCACAGAAATACAAAAGATAATCAGAGACTACTATGAACATCTCTACACTCACACTAAAAAACCTAGAGGAAATGGTTAAAACTGGCAACATAAAACTTTCTAAGACTGAACTAGGAAGAGACAGAAATCCTAAAAAGACTAATAATGAGTAGAACAATTGAATCAGTGATAACAAATCTCCCAACAACAAAAACAAGCCCAGGGCCAGACGAATTCACAGCCAAATTCTACCATACACACAATGAAGAACTAGTACCAATTCTCCTGAAACTCTTCCAAAAAAGTCAAGGAGGGATTCCTCCATAACTCATTCTATAAAGCCAGCATCACCCTGACACCAGGGAAGGGCCCACAAAACAAACAAACAAACAACAAAAAACTACAAATCAGTATCTCTGATGAACACGGATGCAAAAATCCTCAACAAAATCCTAGCAAACCAAATCCAGCAGCACATCAAAAAGATAATACATCATAATCAAGTGGGTTATATTGCAGGGATGCAAAGATGATTCAACATAAATAAATCAATAACTGTGATTCGCCACATAAATAAAACTAAATACAAAAGCCACACGATCATCTCGATACATGCAGAAAAAGCACTTGATAAAATTCAGCATCCCCTCATGATTAAAAACAAATAAACAAACAAAAACCAAACACAGGCTAGGTATGTTGGCTCATGCCTGTAATCCCGGCATTTTGAGAGGCCAAGGCAAGTGGATTGCTTGAGCCCAGAAGTTCAAGGCCAGCCTGGGTAACATTGTGAAACCCATCTCTACAAAAAATTAAAAAATTGGTGAGGCACAGTGGTGTGTCCCAACTAACCAGGAGGCTAATGCAGGAGAAACACTTGAACCTGGGAGGTCGAGGCTGCAGTGAGCTATGACTTGTGCCACTGTACTCCAGCCTAGGTGACAGAGCGAGATCCTGTTTCAAACAAACAAAAAACCTAAAAAAATCTAAGCTCTTTTTGCATTGTTATAAAGAAGTACCCGAGGCTGCGTAATTTATAAAGCAAAGAGGTTTAATTGGCTCATGGTACTGCAGGCTGTACAGGAAGCATAGCACTGGCATTTACTTCTAGGGAGGCTTTTACTTGTGGAGGAAGGCGAAGCAGGAGCAGGCATGTCACATGGTGAGAGTGGGAGCAAGAGAGAGTAGGGGTGGGGGCTGCCACAGTCTTAACCTGATTTCACAAGGACTCACTCACACAAGGACAGCACCAAGCCATGAGGTCTCTGCTCCCATGATCCAAACACCTTCCACCAGGTACCACCTCCAACAATGAGAATTACATCTGAACATGAAATCTAGAAGGGAGATCCAAGTCATATCATAGGCATAGAAGGAATGTAATAAAAACGATATACGACAAACTCACAGCCAACATCATAATGAATGGGGAAAAGTTGAAAGCATTCCTCTAAGATCTGGAAGAAGACAAGGATGCCTACTTTCTTCACTCTTATTCAACATATACTAAAAGTCCTAGCCAGAGCAACCAGGAAAGAGAAAGAAAGAAAAGATAGTCAAATTGGAAAAGAGGAAGTTAAATTATCTGTTTGCTGATGTTATAATGTTATACATAGAAAACCCCTGAGATTCCTCCAAAAGTCTCCTAGATTTGATAAAAGAATTCAGTAAAGTTTCAGAATACAAAACCAATGTAAAAAAATGAGCAACATTTCTATACACCAATAACAATCAAGCTGAGATCCAAATCTTGAAGTAAATTCCACTGACAACAGCTACAAAAAAATATAAATACCTGAGAATACAATTAAACAAGGAGGTGAAAGGCAAGCAAAACTTCAAAACAGCAAATAAAGAAATTGCAGACGACACAAACTAATGAAAAAAACATTCCATGTTCATGGATTGGAAGAATCAGTATCAGCAAAATGACCACACTGCCCAAAGCAGTCTATAGAGTTAATGTATTTCCTATAAAAATACCAATGTCATTTTTTCACAGAGTTAGAAAAAAAATCTTTTATGGAACCAAAAAAGACAGCCAAAGCAATCCTAGGTAGAAAGAGCAACACTGCAGGTATTCCATTACCTAACATCAAATTATACTACAAAGCTATAGTAACAAAACAACATGGTACTGGTATAAAAACACACAGATCAATGAAACAAAATAGAAAACCCAGAAATAAAGTCACATACCTACAGCCTCCTGATCTTCAACAAAGTTGATAGAAACATACACTGAGAAAACAACACCCTATTCAATAAATGGTGCTGGGAAAATCAGACAGCCATATGCAGAAGAATGAAATTGGATCCATATCTCTTATCATTTACAAAATTAACTCAAGATGGATTGAGGAGAAAGAAAAATAATAAGGACAAAAAATTTAAATTTCCAGCCTGGCCAACATGGTGAAACTCCATCTCTACTAAAAATACAAAAATTAGCTGGGTGTGCTGGCAGGTGCCTGTAATCCCAGTTACTCGGGAGGCTGCGGCAGTAGAATCATTTGAACCCAGAAGACGGAGGTTACAATGAGCCTAGATCATGCCATTGTACTCCAGCCTGGGCAACAGAGTGAGACTCTTATCTCAAAAAAAAAAAAAAAAAAAAAACACACACTTAAATTTAAAACCTGAAAAATTTTAAAATTCTAGAAAAAAAACCTGGAAAGAACCTTTCTAGTCACTGGCCTAAGCAAAGAATTCAGGACTAAGACCTCAAAAGCAAATGCAACAAAAACAACAACAGACAAATGGGACTTAATTAAACTACAAAGCTTCTGCACAGCAAAAGGAATAATAAACAGAGTAAAAAAGACAACCTACAGAATGGAAGAAAACATTTGCAAACTATGCATAAGGCAAAGGAAAAATACCCAGAATCTACAAGGAACTCAAACAACTCAACAAGAAAAAAAAAAAAAAAAAAAAAAAACTCTATTAAAAAGTGAGCAAAGGGCCAGGTGGCTCACGCCTGTAATCCCAACACTTTGGAAGGCTGAGGTGGGCAAATCACAAGATCAGGAGTTCAAAACCAGCCTGGCCAACATGGTGAAACCCCGTCTCTACTAAAAATATTTTAAAAATTAGCTGGTCATGGCGGCACGTGCCTGTAATCCTACTCTGGAGGCTGAGGCAGGAGAACTGCTTGAACTGGGATCTGAAAGGCAGAGATTGCAGTGAGCCAAGATCATTACACTGCACTCCAGCCTGGGCTACAGAGTGAGACTCCATCTCAAAAAAAAAAAAAAAAAAAAAAGTGAGCAAAGGACATGAACAGACGTTTTTCAGAAGAAGACACACACACAAATGGCTAACATATGAAAAAAATGCTCAACATCACCAATCATCAGAGAAATTAAAATTAAAACCACAATGAGATACTATTTCACACCAGTCAGAATGGCTATTAAAAAGTCAGAAAATAACAGATATTGGTGAGGATGAGGAGAAAAAGGGACACTTATAACTACTGGTGGGAATGAAAATTAGTACAACCCGTATGAAAAATGGTATGCAGATTTCTCTAAGAACTAAAAATAGAACTAACATTCAATCTAGCAATCCTACTACTGAGTATCTACCCAGAGGAAAAATCATTATTATATCAAAGATACCTGTATTCACATATTTCTCATAGCATTATGCACAATAGCAAAGATATGGAATCAACCTAAGAGTCCACTGATGGATGACTAAATAAAAAAAAAATGATGTGTATATACACCATAAAATATTACTCAGTCATTAAAAAGAATGAAGTTATGTCTTTTGCAGCAACATGGATAAAACTAGAGGACGTTATCTTAAGTAAAATAACTCAGAAAGTCAAATACTGCATACTCACACCTACAAATGGAAATAAATAATGTATACACATGGACATACAGGTAGAATAATAGACACTGGAGACTCAGAAAGGTAACAGGGTGAAAAGGGATGATGGATGAGAAATTAACTCATGGATACAATGTCTACTATTCAGGTAATGGTTAACTAAAAGGCCAGACTCCACTACTATGAAATACATTCATGTAATAAAACACACTTGTATCTCCTAAATGTATAAAAATAACACTATTCAGGCTAGGCGTGGTGGTGCACATCTGTAATCCCAGCACTTTGGGAGGCCAAGGTGGGTGGATCATGAGGTCAAGAGATCGATACCATCCTGGCTAACATAGTGAAACCCCATCTCTACTAAAAATACAAAAATTAGCCGGGCCTGGTGGCGGGTGTCTGTAATCCTAGCTACTCAGGAGGCTGAGGCACGAGAGTCACTTGAACCCGGGAGACAGAGGTTGCAGTGAGCCAAGATCGCACCACTGCACTCCATCCTGGGCGACAGTAAGATTTTGTCTCACAAAACAAAACAAAACAAAAACACTATTCAGCCATTAAAAAAAATAAAAATTGTCATTTGTGACAACATGGATGAACCTACAGGACATTATGTTAAGTAAAATAAGCCAGACACAGAAAGACAAACACCACATGATCTCACTCATATGTGGAATCTAAAAAAGTTCATCTCATATAAACTGAGAATAGAATAGTGGTTACCAGAGGCTAGCGAGGGGATTGGGAACATGGTGATAGGAAGAGAATGGTCGACAGGTACAAAGTTACCCTTAGATAGGAAGAATAAATTCTGGTGTTACATTGCACAGTAAGGTGACTACAGTTAACAATAATGTCTTATATATTTGAAAATAGCTAGAAGAGAGGATTTTGAATGTTCTCACCACAAAGAAATAATGTGTTTGAGGTAATCAATGTGTTGGCTAATTATTCTGATTTGATGAATCAATCACAAATAAAACTTTCAAAAATCATCAAAAAAAGTGAATAGATATGCTAAGTGAAAGAAACCAGACATAAAAGTCACATACCTTACAATTTCATTTATATTGAATTCTAGAAGAGGTAAAACTACAGTGACAGAAAGCAGACAGGTTGCTGCGGTTGGGGTTGGTGAACCGTAAAGGGAATGATAGAAATATTCTTTGTTTTGATTGTGGTAGTTGTTCACAACTACATACATTTCCAATACATCAAGCTACATACTTACATTTGATGAATTTTATTACATGTAAATTATACTTTAATAAAGTTAATTTTAAAAGGGAAAGAGAGAGGCCCAAGAAGATCTAGCCCTATTTATAATCATCTGGGAGGAAAAAAAAAACACACAAAACTGTCTCTGAGTATACAAGATCACAAACAGAACGAGAATCTAGTTCCCTAAATGAAATCCAAAGCTCTTTATATCATATAAATTGCCACTATTTGGCAGTAGGGAGTGGTAGTGAAGGATGGTTAATATCGGTAATTCAATACCTCCTGCTGGAATACAGATTTAAAACCCTTATTCTGAGAGTTTGAAGAATTCATAAAGTTGTATTGGAAGGCTATAATCAAAACACTGAACAATAGATGTTTACTTTCTACCAGTAATATGCTTATTCAGTTTATTCTGGCCAGTTTTGCTCACCATGTGCTAACCTACCCTGTATTAGCCAGACAGACTCCATTTTGCTGAAAGTCAGACAGACTCCATCTTAACCTCCGCCTCACCCCCCCCACCACCATTTCTCCTGAGTGCATATCTGGGTCATGTTCCTGTGCTGGGTCATGTTGTACTTAGAGCTATAGAAACATATAACTGTTATAACCTTATCCTACTTGACAAGCCCACTTGCTATTATGAATACCCCCTTGATTGAGTGTATGGAAAGCACCGAATGCACCCCCGCCCCCACCCTGTTAACCAGCAATCGTGGGAACCACTTGTGTATACCCTTCTTAGTTAATCAACAATCATGGGAGCCTCCTGCCTCCTAGTTACCAGCCTCCTCCCCTAACTTGCTTATTTTGCTTCTGTAAAATTCCTCTTTGCCCCTTTACCCTGAGCAACATATAAAAGGAAATCAAATACCTTCCTCGGGGCAGAGAGATTTGGAGCCTGAGTTGACACTCAGTCACTGGCAATAAAGGACTCTTAATTCGATGGTGCTTTCCATTCAACTTGATTGGTTACAACAACCAAGTTAAATTTTTCACTATAAACCACATTCTAACCCTTTGATATACATCTATCTATACAGGTCTCAATATTTGAAAAAAATGTAAAAAATTTAACTCATGATTCTAATGTATTATGACTGCAGCTTATACTAAATGCAAACAATACTGTCTTTTCTTTTAAAAAATCACATTAACTTATTTCAAGCTAAATTCCTAACATAACTCCCCAATTTTTTTTCTTTTTAATGCTTTGATATCACTGGCATTTCATACAAAAGGGGAGCAAAATATAAGTTCCCTTCTTTTTAGTATTATTTTATCACTCTCCTATTCATTTTTTTTTTTTTTAGCAATCTTCAATAACATAATAGAAAAAAACTATGTTTACGGCTCTTTCAATTGCCAGTTTTTCTTTTTTCTTTTCTTTGATTTTTTTTGTACCAAGATGATAATGCTATTCCTTAACTTTACTGAGTAAAAAGAATGTCCTACTTTGTAGTCACTATTTGCCTTCTAGATCTGCAGAGTTCTAGGATTAACACAGCTTTTTCTGCTTATTACAATCTAGCACCTACTTGAGGATGAAAAACTAAACAAGAAATGGTATCTTTTCAAAGATAAACAGTTTGGCTTTTCTTTTACCCTCATATTCCTGATTAAGATCACCCCAGTCTGAATTTGCCAATGGAAAATGTCTATGCCATGTAAGATACCTGAGGCTAGCTATACAATTAGTAACCGTTGAGTACACACCCTAGGTTGATTAAGACAATTAGAAACACACCCTAGGTTAATTAAGATAATTTTTAAAGGGTTAATCTTTTTCATCTTTGCAACTTCTTTCCCTTTGAAATACAGACATAAACTTTAACCCATAATTCAATGTCTTGATGTAGGAAGTCTAAGCAATAGAATTTCCTAAGACATAAATTGCCACATTGTCAAAGCTTTAAATGAGATCATTACATATATTCTGTATGTTGGGTAATATTTCATCTGCACAATGAACAAAAACTAGCTGAAGTAAGGATTTAAAAATTACTGTTAGCAAAATGGTATCTATTATAAAAACAGATTTCTAAAAACTTAAAAGCAATTCTGACACACACTGCTTATTTCCCATGACTTAAAACATAGTATAAGGAAAGATTGTATTACCTATTTCTAACAAAACAGTGTAGACAGAAAAAAAAATTAGAACAGGAGTCTTTAGGCCACAATAAGACCCCTAAGTATCACAGAACATAAAATGGAATAATTTAAAAGTGCGATTAAAGTTGAAAACAAAATTATTTAAAACAACAGCACAGAATCTGTGCTATGAAAAAAAAAAAAAATGACTGAAAGGGAAGGGGATGAGAAAGGTGAGAAAAGCACTACCAGACTCCTTACCCATTGTTGTTGGTGCTGGAGCTTCCTGATGGTATTTTCAGCTTGCTCCAGCTTAGCACTGGCCTCATCACTCTGCTGTTTGATGGTGGCCAACTCCCGTTTTATGAGGTAGTTTTCCTCAGCCTCCTGGGCTCTTGTCACTTGTCCCTTAGGACATAATTTTTTTGTGTGTAAAGCAATTTAGGATAGATTCAAGAAAGACTGCCTTTGTGAGGTTTAGTTATTTACTTTGACATGTTAAAAAAAAAAAGTCACCTCAGCGAATAGAACAGCCTAGGTAATCATTAGCTAGCAGCTTGTTATTGCTCCAGCAAATTTTGGGAAACTAATGAAAAATTCACCTGACAATCTTAAGAACAAATCTTCTTTCAGTCAATAAAAATTTAATTCATGCAATATTACTGAGTTGTACATGCAGTACTAAAATTTTCAACGAATAGTAGTTAATTTCACAGAATTCACTGATTGCCATTTTGAAATAAATACTTAAAAAAATAAGGTTAGCTTTAAAACGTGCAAAAATAAACCAAGATAACACCTTGTTATAAAAAATTAAGTTTATACCCACATATACCGCCCAAAAAAATTATTTCTAAGAAAATGCATATAAAATTGCATGCATTAAAATATGAATTTCGAGGTTTAGGACTTTGCTTAGAAGTTAGAGAAGATGTTTAAAAAACAAAAACAAAAACTATACCTGTATCAATCTATCTGCCAAGGAAGCACTTTCCTACAAAAGGAAAAATTCAGATAGAAATATAAGAGGAAGAAGATAAAAGTGATAAAATTAGGAAAAAAGAAACAAATATACCCAAATTCCATCTACTTTTCATTGCTAATTAAAATGGACTTAAATATATTATTTTTTACTGAATGTTTCTATTTTTAAACCTTAAGAAAAATATACGAAAACAAGGATAGCTGGTTGAAAATCATGTGTTTCCAGAAGATACCAAACACAAATTCCAAGCGGTTTTTCATTACCTGGAACAAGCAAATGTCTTTTTTTTTTTTTTTTTAAATAGAGACAGAGTCTTACTCTGTCACCCAGGTCAGAATGCAATGGCATGGTCATATAGCTCATTGTAACCTCCAACTCCTGGGCTCAAGTGATCCTTCTGCTTTAGCCTCCTGAGCAGCCAGGACTACAGGTGTATGCCACATGCCCAGCTAGTTTTAAAATTTTTTGTACAGATACAGTCTTGCTATGTTGCCCAGGACAGTGCTGAACTCCTGGCCTTAAGCAATCCTCCTGCCTCAGCCTCCCAAAGTGCAGGGATCAGAGGCATGAGCCACTGCACTTGGCCAAATATTTCTTCCTCTTTTGCTATCTTTGTATCTTTTAGACTTAACCCATATTGTCAACCCACTTACATGAAAGGAAGAAGGAATTTGAGTAAGCAATTCTACTTATAAAGTGTGACAGCAATTTGTGCAACAGCAACTTTCAAAGAAACAAAGCAAGGAAAATATGACAAAATTAATACGCTAAACTTAAACTTTAGCAATAACTGAGCAAGTATACTTTTTTTATTACAGATTTCAATTGATACATAGTATTTATAGAATTCTAAGTGCTAAGTGACACACCTGGGCCATCTAAGCCAGTAAAAAAAGGAACAATATTTTCTTACAACATCGTTATCATTCCAAAGGTTCAATGAAATAAGAATGCTTTCCTGGTTTAAATGTCTTACTCCAAAGATTAAAAAACAAAAACAAAAAACCTAAGAAAATGAATATTTGATTGTAAGCTAGATATTTAATGAGAAAAAAGAGTATATAATTAAAACAACTTAAAAGTAAGCTCAACCTTCCTGTGGAGTCACCAAAAGTAGAATTATCCTCATAGCAATCCTAACATGATGAGAGAAAAACAGGGAAACTATTTTTGACTTAAAAGGATGTCTCTGCAATTATTATACAACAAAGGCAGACACGTAATAAATATCCTGTCCTTATACACTTTTATCCAATAGGAAATCATCAATACTTTTTAAGCAAAAGACATATACTGTAAAATATCCATACTTCCATTTATTTATTTCTTGAATTTTATCTGTAGATTTGCAGGGAAGATTTTAAGATCCTTGGCAATATGATGAGGGGTATGTTTAAATCTACTTACTGTCATCTCTAGTTAAAAAAAAAAGAAAAGAAAAAAAGTGGCCAGGCACAGTGGCTCATGCCTATAATCCCAGCATTTTGGGAGGCCGAGGCAGGCGGATCACAAGGTCAGGAGGTCGAGATCATCCTGGCCAACATGGTGAAACCCTGTCTCTACTAAAAATACAAAAATTAGCCTTGTGTGGTGGCGCATGCCTGTAGTCCCAGTTACTGAGGAGACTGAGGCAGGAGAATCGCTTGAACCAGGGAGACGGAGGCTGCAGTGAGCCGAGATCTCGCTACTGCACTCCAGCCTGGGTGACAAAGCAAGACTCTAACTCAGGGAAAAAAAGAAAAAAACACCAAAAGAGTTTGTGAATTCAGATGTTTTTCCTTCAATAAAGCAAAATTCTTAAAACCAGACTTTTACTACTCAATTCATTCTTCTAGCATCTGAAAATCACTATAAAAGATTTTTCATCAAAAGCACATATGAAAAATAATGCAAAATTTCCACATTTGCCCAGTTATTCTATATGAAACAGAGAAAACGTAACAAGTAGATATCAAAATAATTCTAAGGACTAAAAGCTTATGCACAATTCCTTTGTGCTGAAAATCAACTTGAGAGTGAATTTTTATGTAAGGAATCAGTCAGTCACTTCAACTAAAAGCAATCCTAGGCCTTAAAGGACTCACTGGTGCATTAAATATGCTAGAAAGTTTAGGGCAACATTTGAAACTCATCTTTAAAATGCTTTATCAGAATGGACTCCCAACTGGATTCTAAAAGAACATACTTTTTAGAAATTATGTGTAAAGAAAACAAATAGTATCAATATGTTACTCTTAATCTCAGTTAAAACTTGACTATGAAAGTTCAAAAGAACCAGTACAACTGATCAATTTTTGTTAGTAACAAGTTATCTGGCTATAAATAGTAAGGTAGGGTAGTTAAGCAGTCAATACTACAACATAGGAGATGTGTGCCAGAATTTTTGAGGATTTTTTAAAAATACACACAAAAAACACTAGGCATTCAACAGAAGCTTGCGTAAGTAGTCACTTACTTTTTCTAATGTCTCGATGCGCTGTTTTAAAAGTCTATTTTCTGTGCGTAACCTCTGCCAAGAAAAAAAAATGTTTTATTGGTGAGCATTCTTGAGAGGAAAAAAGATTCCTAAATCACAGTCCTGAAACTGTACCACCTTTCATAAATAAGAAAGGAGTCTAAGGAATGATTACATTATCAAATGCCAAAGACTCAGAGTAAGAAACACACAGCAGGCAGGGTGCCATGGCTTGAGCTTAGGAGTTCCAGATAAGCCTGGGTAACATGGTGAAACCTCATCTCTATGAAAAATAGAGACACAGACAACACCGAGACACACACAGACACAGACACACACACACAGACACACACACACACACACACACCCACACACACACACCCACACACACCCCCTAGCTAATTTTTGTTAGCCAGGAATGGTGGTGTGAGCTTGTCATCCCAGCTACCTGCGGGGCTGAGGTGGGCAGCTGGGAGGTGGGGGCTGAGGCAGGGGCAGAGGAAGTTGTAGTGGGCCGAGATTGGGCCACTGTACTCCAGCCTGGGTGACAGAGTGAAACACTGTGTCAACAGAGGGGAGAAGGGGAGGGAGGGGAGGGGAGGGGAGGGGAAAGAGGAAAGGAGAAAAGAAAGAAAAAAGGAAAAGGAAAGGAAAGGAAGATAAAGAAATAGAAATAAATATACAATGGAAAAGGAAATAGTCATATTAAAATGCACCCTATAGTACATATAGAAATAAGCCTTTTCATTTCTATACTTGCCATAATGACTCATAATCAAATAATTTATGTGTTTTAACATCCTCATTAGACAGAAAAGATTCTAACTTGCCTACCTCCCATAGAGTCTATCTATATAATTAATATTCAAATGTCAGCTGAATGAAGAAATAAGACATCTAAAAAGTGCATGTTCACAGGCTAAACATTAAATTGTCCATTTAGGGCCCGGCACAGTGGCTCACACCTATAATCCAAGCACTCTGGGAGGCCAAGGCAGGTGGATCACTTGAGCTGGGATGTTCAAGACTAGCCTGGGCAACATGGCAAAATCCATCTCTACAAAAAATTTAAAAATTAGCTGGATGTGGTGGCATGTGCCTGTAGTCCCAGCTACTCAGGGGGCTGAGTGGGGGATGACTTTAGTGCTGGAGGCAGAGGTTGCAGTGAGCCAGTATCACATCACAGCACTCCATCCTGGGCAACAGAGCAAGATCTTGTCTCAAATTTGAAAGAAAAAAAAATTGCCCATTTAGACTACAATAGTCTCTATATATAATATGGCATAGATGACAAGTTGTAAAATTCATTACACTCTGAAAATACAAAAAAATTAATTGTTATTTTTTTCTGAGAAAATTAGCTCCAATTACTAGCATTTTCTCTTAATTCAAAAAGTAAAACCAGATTTTTTAAAAAAGCACTTCACCTAATTATTCAATGCCTGGTTCCCAAAAACTTGTCTAATTACTGTCATTAAGTATTAAATCCAAGTCACTCTACATTTTTAAAAAGCTATTTTTGCATATCCACCAATATCATTGCTTATTAACCCCCTTTATAAGTGGTCTTTTCATTTTCAAATACCTTAGGTGTTGTCCCTTCATTTTTGCCATCAAATTTCAGTTTCAAAGTAATCACTCTTACCTTTTTGTAACAATTTGTTCCAGAACTCAGTCAAGCCTTCTTCCACCCCACCTTCCTATAAATTTCTGCTAAAAAATGTCTGTCTCAGTAAATTCTTCTATCAATTCAGCCTATTATTTTCCCAGTAAAGACTTACATATGGTTTTATATAACATATAAAGTCTTAGTTCAGGGAAATGAGAGGCTTTGAATTACTGCATAAGTGGATCACAAATTGAAACAAATCTTAGAGTTATTACAAGGATACTTTGCAAATTAGATTTCTTGTTCTATTCACTAAAATTTAGATGATCTGAAATGGACATTGACATATAGGAAAGTTAATAACTAATATCTGACAACAAAATAACAGCTTGAGAAGTAGAAAATGTTCTCATTTCTTGGCTCCTGCTATGTGCAGCATAGTGGTCTACACAAATAAGCAATTATTAAATGCTGCTAAAGTCTAGATAGCCAAAGAAATAAATGAGATTCTCAAAATGTTCTCAATCATATTTCATCAACAAAAGGTAACTTTTTGTTTTTATCTTAAAAGATGTAGAAAACTAAGTTCCAACCAGACAACTGAGTGAATTAATTAGGACAGAAATCATGCTCAAATGAAAATTTACACCTGAAAACGTTCACCTGGATTTCCTTCCCCAATTACTTTCTTCCACAAACAACTATCACCACTTCCTCATTTGTATAATATTTACATTAGGAATTGATCCAACAGAATAGACTTTTTCAGTTAATACAGACCATTTCAGGGTTACCTTTAAGTTTCAAGTGTTACTGTCTTTTTTTTGGAACTAATATCACAGTATTTTGGTAATTATAGCTTGGCTATCTGTTTTTTTTTTTGGAGGGGTGGGGCGGAGGTTTGAGACAGAGTATTGTTTTGTAGCCAGGCTGGAGTACAGTGGCACAACCTTGGCTTACTGCAACCACTGCCTCCTGGGTTCAAGCGATTGAACCCAAGCGACTGCCTCCAGCCTCAGCCTCCTGAGTAGCTAAGACTACAGACGCATCCACATCTTACATGACAAATACATCAAAGTCTCTCTTGGAAAGCAGCAGCAGCACACTATATATACTGAAGAATACACATGGGCCTTAGAATAACACAAATCAGACCTCAAATCCTTGATTCTTACTGTTTCCTCACAATGTGACCACTGGCATATTATTTGAGCTTTCTGAGGCCTAATTTCTTCACAGGTAAGGATAAGAACCCTTTCATGATGCTGTTGTAAGAGTAAGGGGAAAAAATGCATGTAAGTGACCCATCACATATTAAGGGCTAAATAAATGAGAGCTTTCATTCTAATACTTCACATTGATTGTTCAAATGTAATTGCTGGGCAACTTAGATAATACTTATCTTTTTTTTTTTTTTTTCATTTTTATGCCAGGCATAAAAGTTCATTATATTCAATGAGTGCTTTTATGTTATGTTATGTTATTTTCTGGTTTTCAGCATATCTTCCTGTGGACTTCTAAAAGGATCAAGGCAAGAAAGTATTAGTTTACAACTAGAACCCATTCTCTTGTAAAAGAGACTTATGGGAGAGGGAGGGAGTATAAGAAGTGGCATTTTACAGCAAGGCTCAATTAATATTTTACCTCACTAATGAATTGTAAATAAGGTGGCCATCTGATCATGATTGAAATGAGATGCCAGGGTCCAAGTAAAAAAATCAGACACCCCTAAATATGAAGTTTTAAAAAGTACAGTCACTCAGAAATTGCTTTGGTTTTAGTATTTTATAGAACTGGGGAGTGAAAAAAGAGATGAAAATGGTATAAGAAAGAGCTACATGGAAACAGTATTAGAAAAAGAGAAGAGACTACCTTTGTGATCAGCATACTTTATTTACCTGATATGTTCCACTAACTTTCTAAGCTTCTCCCCCACCCCATATTCTTCTCTATACACAATTTTATGCCAACTGCCTGAGACACATGGAGCCAGATTTAAAAGCATTTCTTCAGGCATATGAACTATAACTTTCCCAAAAAAACAAAGGATAGAAAATATTGCAAATGGCTGGGCATGGTGGCTCACGCCTATAATCCCAGCGCTTTAGGAGGCCAAGGCCGGTGGATCGCCTGAGCTCAGGAGTTCGAGACCAGCCTGGGCAACACGGCAAAACCACGTCTCTACCAAAAGTACAAAAAATTAGCCAGGCATAGTGGTGTGCACCAGTAGTCCCAGCTACTTGGAAAGCTGAGGTGGGAGGATCGCTTGAGCCTGGGAGGTCAAAGGCTGCAAATGAGCCAAGACTGTGCCACCGCACTCCAGCTTGGGTAACAGGGAGACCCTGTCTTTAAAAAGAAAAAAAAAAGGAAGGAAGGAAGAAAATACTGCAAGTATAGGTGAAAGTCTGCTAAAGATTTGTTTTCCAAAAATGCCTTTTGGTATTCCTATATTCATGTACTTAATTTTATAAGAAACTTCTTCAAGAGTAAGGATTGTTCATAGAACTGTGATTTTTTTTTTCAATAACATAGTGTGGTGAAATGAATAGGATGGCTTCCCCATCCTCAGATTCTTGATTTGCAGTTCCGAATATTCATAGTAAGTGAAAACCCATACTCTCACCCCATTCGTGAAGACTATGTAATTTTACTTTCAGTAAAAGTACCCTTACTCATGGTACCTAAAAGAAAAGCAAATAGTAGAGCAGCAGTTGTGTGACAGAATTAAAAAAAAAAAAAAAAAAAAAAAAAAGGGAAAAACATCCACCAGGGTCTTTTCTCTATGTATTAAAAATCTGGAAGTACCTATTTCCATTTGATAAGGAAAGGTGATAGAAATGGGAATAGAACCTCTAGAAAAGGGAGGGCAGAGTTGGTAAGAGAGAGGTAACATAAGAAAACTGGAGAGACTGTTTCCCTGGAGGCTTTTGAGGAGGGCCACGGCAAGAAGAGTATTAGCTTAACAGAACCCATTCCCTTGCAAAAGGAGCCTGTGGGATGCGAGTGTTATTTTATAGCAAGGCTCAATTAACATATGGCTGATTATAAATAAGGTGGTCATATGTCTTGCCAGGTCTGAGTCAAAAATCGGAAACATTCAAACATAAAGTTTAAAAAGGGAGGAGGGAGTCATTCCATTAAAATTATTTTACATTTAACCCTTTCCTCCAGGGGCTTGGGGGGGGGGGGGTGGAGGGGAATAAAGAGATTAGAAATTAAATTAGCCAGTCAGTAAGTTCTTTGACTCATGCTTCCACTTATCATCTCCATCCTGCAATATCAGCCTAAAAGCCAACACAACTTTTCTCAAGTCCCAACTCCAAGAGTGCCACAGACTCCCAACTCAAGAATTCCTTGGCTTGCGGGGGGGGGGGGGTACAAACTTTATATTTTTAGAGTATATATATGATATTTATATGCCCTTTGAATTGAAGCTCTCCTTTATTTTCTGGAGAGAAGTAGTTCAAAAGTATAAACCTTGCTTAGAGAAGAAAAAGTTGTACCAGTCAAAGCTTTCTGTAGCTCTAGAGCAGCCATAATTAATTCTAGTGTAATAATGTGCTCTATTTAATGTTTGGCTGAGATTATACTCTTGTTGGTCTCAGCTTAGAAAGTGTTATTATAGATTGTCTTCTCTGCAACTTTAAAAAAACATGCTTAAATGGAATGATAATTATCTTCTCCATGGAAGTATTTTCTCCTGATGAGCCACCAATAAATCTAGAAAAGGGAAGAGCTTGCTTTCCTTCACACTGGAATGAAAGCCACTTTAGTCACATTATTCTGCTTTTCTGAAATGTCTATTTTCAACTAAATCTAGTAGGATAGTAAATAAATTTATGAATATAAGTACAAACTTTAAACTAACATCTACCATCCAATAATTGATTTCAATCTTCAGTACTTAAAAAAGCCCCAAAATGCTTACTTTAATTTCAACTTGCTCTTCCATTTCTTTTGTTTTTATTGTAGTGTATTCCTTTTCAAGCCTAAAAAAGGGAAAAAAAAGAATGTTTTCATTCAAAAGTAGTTATTAAATTACAAAATTTAAAAATACATATGAACATAAAAATACAATTTCTTTAGTTTCTTATAATTTGGAGATATTTGATGTGAGAAAAATCATGCAATTTCATGAGTTCTTATAAAAAATATAACTTTACAAATGACAAAAACAAAAACCACACTAAAAGAAAATTTAGAAAGTAAAATGTATAAAACACAAAATACAACTGAGTTTACAGATTCTATTCAGCCCTAAACTTACAAATAAACCATCTAATCTTTCTCCTCAAATTAAAACATATCTATAGGTTCAACTGGCTCTTAACTTAAAAATCCTGGTACCAACACTGACTTTAAAAATTTTAATGAGGGAAAGCAGACAACTCTTCCTTACAGAAGAATTCCAATTAACAGACATAGGAGGAATAAGGTAAAGATAAAAATCACCATTAGAATTCTACAGTAATAACTACTGAGGGAGGAATCACTAATGGATGCTAAAATTAGTGAGTGAAAGTTTAAGCATAGTCTCAAATTCTCTCTCCTAAAATGTAAGTGTTAAAGGAAAATACTAAATTTATAGTACAGAATCCTGGCAGACTGCACCTAAACTGAATAAAGTTAACATCACTAGTAATACATACTGACATCATGTATCCTTGTTAAGATGTACTGAGTTAAGTGAATTAACATAGAAACAGAAAACCAAAAACCCATGTTCTCCCTTACAACTAGGATCTAAACACTGGGTGCTCATGGACATAAAGAAAGGAACAACAGACACTGGGGACTAATGTGGGGAGGAGAAAGAGGAGGACAAGGTTTGAAAAACTAACCATTGGGTACCATGTTCATTATCTGGGTGATGGGATCATTCACATCTCAAACCTCAGCATCATGCAATATGCCCATGAAAGAAATATGAGCAGGTACTCCCTGACTTTAAAATAAAGGTCAAAATTTAATTTAACACATGACACTGGGCACAGTGGCTCATACCTCTAATCCCAGCACTTTGGGAGGCCGAGGCAGGCAGATCACGAGGTCAGGAGTTTGAGACCAGCCTGACCAACATGGTGAAAACCTGTCTGTACTAAAAATACAACAATTAGCCAGGCGTGGTGGCATGCACCTGTAGTCCCAGCTACTCAGGAGGCTGAGGCAGGAGAATAGCTTGAACCCAGGAGGCAGAGGTTGCAGTGAGCCAAGATCGTGCCACTGTACTCCAGCACAAGCGACAGAGTGAGACTCTGTCTCAAAAATAAAGGTTGAAATTATTAAAAAATAAAAATAATTTAAAACATGACACTGGAACACAGTGGCTCACATCTCTAATCCCAGCACGGGGGGCTGAGGTGGGCTAATTGCTAGAGGCCAGGAGTTCAAGACCAACCTGAGCAACATGGTGAAACCCAGTCTCTACAAAAAATATGAAAATTAGCCAGATGCGGTGGGGGCGTGCCTGTAGTTGCAGGTACTGAGAGGCTGAGGTGGGAGGATTGCTTGAGCCGTGGAGGTCAAGGTTGCAGTGAGCCGTGATCACCACTGCACTCCAGCCTGGGCAATAGAGCACGACCCTTCCCCTTACCCCCCCAAAAAAGTGATAAACCATTAAAAAAAGATGTACTGAAAAGAGCATATCACCTCTGTGGTAGGAGGAGAGTAAGCATGATAATCCAACTCTATTGTAAGTCTAAAATTATCTTTATAAAAATGTATAGGCCACACAAAAACTGGTACCACCAAATTTTTCTATCTTGCTCTTGACAAGAAGTATCAGTACCACATTTACTCTAAATATATGCCAGATCAGGCTCCAAATAACTTATAGCTGCTTTCAAAAACAAAATTCTCCCTCAAAGGATACAAATCTATTACTTATCTCATTTAGCTCACAATAACTTTTTAATGTAAGTTGTTATACCTACTTTGGGGTTTAGAAAGCTTGAGAAACTTCTGTACAGTCACAGCCTTGACTGCTACATTATTCTGTCTCTCACTAAAGTATATCTTAAAACAGGGGTCCCCAGCCCCTGGGCCATGGATCAATACCAGTCCGTGGCTTGTTAGGAACCGAGTTGGCAGAGCAGGAGGTGAATGGCAGGCAAGTGAACATTACTGCCTGAGCTCTGCTTCCTGTCAGATCAGCGGCAGCATTAAAGTCTCACAGGAGTGCAAACCCTACTGTGAATTGTGCATGTCGGGGGTCTAGGGTGTGTGCTCCTTATGAGAATCTCATGCCTGATGATCTGTGGTGAGGTGGAACAGTTTCATCCTGATGCAATACCCCCAACTCCCATGAGCAGAAAAATGGTCTTCCACAAAAGCGGTCCCTAGTGTCAAAAAGGCTGGGGACCACTGTTTTAAAAGACTGTAAATAGCCGAAAGAATTTACTAAAGACTCTGAAGAGCTGCAAAACACTTTGAACCGCTGCACTACTGAAATAAGTTTATAGCCTTCACAAATGACTACTCTGAAGAAGTTACCATCATGCATTATGTAAAAATATCACTCATTTACACGCCTAAAAATAAACCCTACTTATTTAACTCCACTGATAGTGTTTTTGAATAAACTTTTTTTTAAAAAACTATTCAGTTTACAAAAAGACTGTGAAGATAGTACAGAGAATCCATGTATCCCATCCCAGTTTCCTCTATTATTAACATGTTACAGTAGTATCGTACATTGTTATAGTTAATGAATCAATATTAACACACTGCTGTTACCTAAAGCCCATGACAGTTTTGATGAGTACCTTCACGGTTTTGAGGAGTACTGGTCAGGTATTTTGTAGTTATCATTATGTTACCTTCAAATGGGACCATTATGTCCTTCAAATGGGATTTGTTTCATGTTTTTCTCATGATTATACTGGGGTTATTGGGTTTTCAGGAGGAAGACCACAGAGATAAATGCCATTTTCATTATCTCATATTAAGGGTACAAACTATCAACAGATCATCACTATTGACGTTGACCTTGATCACCTGGCTGAGGTAGTACACACCAGGTTTCTCCAGTGTAAAGTTATTTGTTCCCCCTTCATTGACAGTGTTTTTAGACCCACATTATGGCTTGTTTAAATTACTAGAAAAGACTAATAATCTAATAATTGTTCTTTCTATGACTAGTTTCATAACTCAATGTTTTCTACACACTATTACCAAAGTGGTCTTTTTTATTTTTATTTTTTAATTTTTTTATTCTTTTTATTTGGGAATAAAAAAAAGTCAGGCGGGATTCTGTACCCCAATGCCTCCCAACACAGCCCTCACAGGCAGGGAAGAGAGGCAAGGGGTCCCTGAAGGCAGGATGAGAAGAGCGGTCCCATTCACCATGAATGTCCATCCCTCGCCCACCGTGGATCGGTCGCGGCCCGAGAGAGGGTGACATCACCACATCCATCGGAAACAAAGTAGTCTTTTTTAAAAACACTGATTTGGATCATGCCACACACCCAGAGTGTCAGTGGTTACTCATTACCTCCAGATTAAATTTCAAAGGCTTACAAAAAGTAATCAAAGCTCTTTGGAGAAATGGCTTATTACTGAGCAAGAGCCCAAAAGGCATAAATTGAACCTGGAACATTCTGGTGCCCTAAACAAAGGAATTTCCCAAAGAATAATGGGAAAATATCAAAAGAACACAGCCTCCATCTTGGAAGGATTCCCACTGGACAAATCAGGGACAATTTAATAGCAATGCATTATAGCTCACTGAATAAAATAACCCATGAATTCACACTGATGTAAATAAATGAGGGTGAAGGGGAAAGTTCTTCCTTATAGTAGAATGCTGATTAATAAATAAAGAATAAGGAATTGGGAAAATCATAAATGGATATAAAACTGGTATGGTGGCCGGGCGTAGGGGCTCACGCCTGTAATCCCAGCACTTTGGGAGGCCGAGGCAGGTGGATCACGAGGTCAAGAGATCAAGACCATCTTGGTCAACATGGTGAAACCCCGTCTCTACTAAAAATACAAAAAACTAGCTGGGCATGGTGGCACATGCCTGTAATCCCCAGCTACTCAGGAGGCTGAGGCAGGAGAATTGCCTGAACCCAGGAGGCGGAGGTTGCGATGAGCGGGGATCAGGCCATTGCACTCCAGGCTGGGTAACAAGAGTGAAACTCTGTCTCAAAAAAAAAAAAAAAAAAAAAAAAAAAAAAAAAAAAAAAAAAAAAAACTGGTATGGTAGATTTGGTAAAGAAAGAGGTTACTACGTAATCTCAAAATAGCCTGGCACAAATTACTTATTACAAAAGGGAAAATAATAACAGTAGTAAAACCTGGCAGACATTACCTTAATCAAGTAATCAAAGCTAACATTACCAGTTTTGAGAGACAGCATTATCATATATATCGCATGGTGAACTGAGAAAATACAATATCAGTGACATACTTGCCAAAAATGCAAAACCTGAAACTAATCTTGGGAAAACCCCAAAAAAACTCAAACTTTGAAATTTTCTACAAAATAACTGGCCTGTATACTCTTTAAATATATCAGAAACACAAAGACTGAGGAAATGTGTCAGGTTAAAGAAGACCAAATAGGTATAACACATAAATCCTACATGTGATACTAGAGCGGACCCTGGACTGAGGGGCGGGGAGATGGTTATACAGCATATTATTGGGACAGCTGATAAAATCTGAACATAGTGGATTAGATAACAGTAGTGTATCTATTAGGTTGGTGCAAAAGTAATTGCAGTTTTTGCCATTGAAAGTAATGCAAAACTGCAATTACTTTTGCACCAATCTAATATAATCTCCTTGTTTTGATTACTGCATTTGTGTTAAAGGAAACTATGGCTAAAGGGCACAATAACTCAATTTATTCACAAATGAATTTTACATATACATACACACAAGAAGAGAGGATAATAAAGCAAATGGGATGAAATGTAAACAATTGATGAATGTTGGTAAAGAGTGTATCGGACCCCCTTGTACTATATTTGTAGCTTTTTAATAAGTTTAAAAGTACACCAACATAAAAATTCATCAAAAAAAGTCAATGGCTAAGACTCAACTCTTAAACTTTCATGTAGTAAGGGAACCTCTGCGCCTTTGTACCTATTACCATTCTTCTTATAATGCCCACCTTCTCTTCATCTGGCCAACCTCTATTACAGCAAAGAGTAAAACTTTTAAAACCAGATCATGTTACTTTTCTCAAAATTCTCCACTGGTTTCCCCTCAGATGTGGAATAAAGTGTGGCCCATGAGGAGGCAAATAATCAACTAAACGTTTAACAATGATGAAAACATGCTATATCTGTGCTGTCCAATAGAGCAGCCATTAGCCACATGTGAGTGACTAATTAGCACTTAAAATATAACTGATGAAATAAATTTTTAATCATAGTCCACATAGCCCCATGTGGATAGTGGCTACCACAGTAGATGGCATGGCTTTAAATATCCCTAGCACCCTACCATGTTTCTGACTTCGTTGCTCACCACGCTCCTATTTGCCTATGCTATTCCAGTCCCACCGGTTTTCCTCCTTTTCCTTTTTGTAGAGATGGGGTTTCACTGTGGTGCCCAGGCTGGTCCCAAACTCCTGGGCTCAATGGATCCTCCCAGCTCAGCCTCCCAAAGTGTTGGGATTACTGGTGTGAAGCACTGTGCCCAGCCTCTCACTACTTTTCTATTCCTTGAATGTATCAATCACATTCTTGCCTCAGTCTCTACATTAACTGTTATCTTACTGCACGTTATACTTCCCCCAGATATTCCCATGCCTCCTCCTCTCACTTCCCTCTGGTGTCTGTCAAATGGTACCTTATCAGCCTGTGAGCCCTATCTCTGAGTGCCCTGTCTAAAAGAGTGCCCCTCATTACTCCATGTCCTTTATCCAGCTTTGTTTACTTCACGGCACTTTCACCGATGGATGTTACCCTGTGTATTTGTTCTGTGTCATTCTTCTGTATTGCAGTAAGTTCCATATCAGCAGGGATTTTCTGTTGCAGTCATAATTGAACCCTAGCTATTAGAAACAAAGGTCTTCGGCCAGGCACAGTGGCTCATGTCCGTAATCCCAGCACTTTCGGAGGCTGAGGCAAGTGGATCACCTGAGGTCAGGAGTTCAAGACCAGTCTGGCCAACACAGTGTAAATCAGTCTCTACTAAAAACACACACACACACAAAATTAGCTGGGCATGGTGGCGCATGCCTGTAGTCCCAGCCTCAGGAGGCTGAGACCTGAACCTGGGAGGCAAGGGTTGCAGCGAGCCTAGATTGTGCCACTGCACTCCAGCCTGGGCGACAGAGCGAGGCGCTGTCTCTCAAAAACAAACAAACAAACAAACAAACAAACAAAGCTCTTCAAAATTGTACTCAGGTGTCATCTCCTTCAGAGAACTACTTGAAACTTCCTCCTCTGCCATCATCCTGTGCCATGTCCGTGGTCTTATTTTTCTGCTCACGTATCTGCTAAAAGAATGTTTCCTCACCTACATTTTAAAGACTTCTAAATTTTGTTTTATCTTGTGTAAATATAGTTAAAAAGGACATATAGTTGTAATTTATATGTACTTTAAAATATTTCCATTGCAACTTAAATGAGATTTCTCTTATTTATGGACAACGTCTACTCTAGGACCTAACTGGCAAAGGCAGTCATTATTATTTGACCAATGAATCAAATCATCATTAAAAAGTTGCCTTCACTTTTCAATTCAAATAAACATGTGTTAATAATTTGTCCCATGATCACGATTCCATTCTGAATTCTATTTGTAAGAAAGATAAAGCAATCTTGCCTTTGTCAGCCAGATAAAGTCAGAAACCCAAATTAGAAATTAGAAAAATCCCATTTTTCTTGCTTTGCTCTCTCAGGGGATACCTTCTCAAGAGCAAGTCATTTTGAAACTGTTCTTTTTGTTTGGAACCACAAAGATTTTTTATAAACTAAAGTAATGTACCATAGTATGGTCTAGATTGGGTGACAGGTTTTCCTTCCTTTAATAAAGTGAAAAGTGCAAAGGAGAGCCAAGACACCTCTACTACAGAAATGTTATCAGACAGATAAACTGTAGAAAATAATATAGATAGAAATTGAAATTTTACTTAACCAAGCTCTGAACATTTTCCTGACACCCAGCAGACTTCACATCCCAGTCTGAAGACATATGGGTTGGGTACCTCTAACATATAATTTTAATAATCTGTTATACATTTGCATCCAATAAGCTATTCACTTTTCTGTGCTGCTACCCTCCAACCAACAGGAAGCTTGGGTGTTTTTGAGGTAGGTCCAATTGTGAGATTATTATATATTCCAAGACTGATACTTAGCAGAAATAGACAAGACTTATCTTTTAATATTGACAAAAGATTATGATCCAGATTATAAACAACTAGTAACCACTAAGAAGTCAAAGCAATATGAAGTAGACACTGCAACAGAAAAAGGAGGAAAAAGAAAAGAAAAACATGAGACAAATAAACATATGAAAAGATGCTTACTCTCATTAACAATCTGGGAAATGCAAATTAAGTAGAAAATCAGATTTATATTCAGGAGATTGGTAAAAATTAAGAATAACCAAGCATTGATGGCAGAACAATGAAACTTTTTTTTTTTTTTTTTTTTTTGAGACAAGGTCTTACTCTGTCACCCAGCCTTGAGTGCAGTGGCAAAATCATGGATCACTGCAGCCAGGATCCCCCAGGCTCAAGTGATCCTCCCACCTTGGCTTCTTGAGTAGCTGGGACCACAGGTATGCACCACCATATCCAGCTAATTTTTGTATTTTTTGTAGAGACAAGGTTTCACCATGTTGCCCAGGCTGGTCTCAAACTCCTGGACTCAAGCAATCTGCCTGCCTAGCCTCCCAAAGTTCAAGGACTACAGGTGTGAACCACAGCACTTGGCCACAATAACACAGACGCTGCTGGGTTAGACTGTAAATTAGTGTCACTGTGGCAAAATTTTGTGATGTTGAACATAGTTTACTTTGTAACCTTAAAACATTCTGAATATAAGCCTGTAAGTCCTTAATAATGCCCCCTGCAAAAGAATAGATGAATTTAAAAGAACACCATTCCCACTAATTCTTTTCTCTGGAAATTGGTGATTACAGGGAATAATTAAGGTTTTTTTCTTTTCTTTTTTTTTTTTAAGAGAGAGGGTCTCACTCTGTCACCTAGGCTAGAGTGCAGTGCTGTGATTACAGCTCACTGCAGCCTCCATCTCTAGACTCAAGCAATCTTCCAACTTCAGCCTATGAAGTAGCAAAGACTACAGGCACCTGGTTAACTTATTTTATTTCTTGCAGAGATGTAGTCTTGCTATATTGCCCAGGCTGTTCTCAAACTCTGAGACTCAAGCGATCCTCTTGCCTGGGCCTCCCAAAGTGCTGGGATTATGGGTGTGAGCCACCATGCCTGGCTGAAATAATGAGGTGTTTGTAAGTGTTTCCAGGAGAATGAAGTTAGCTGCATTAGTGAAGAAAAGGTTATGAAGAAAGCTGACTGATAAATGTTAAGAAGAATGACATTTTAAAAATCATGCTTTTGTTATCCTAAATAAAATAGCTTAACATGAAAAGTATCCCCAATGATACCTTTTTTTTTTTTTTTTTTTGGAGACAGGGTCTCACTCTGTTGCCCAGGCTGAAGCACAGTGACAATCATGGTTCACTGCATCCTTGACTTCCCAGACTCTAGTGATTTTCCTACCTTTTAGTCTCTTGAGTAGCTGGGACTACAGATGCACACCACCGCACCTGGCTAATTTTTTGTTCTTGTAGACAGGACTTTACCATGTTGCCCAGACTGGTCTTTTTTTTTTTTTTTTTTTAAAGATAGAGACAAGGTTTCACCATGTTGGTCAGGCTGGTCTCAAACTCCTGACCTCGTGATCCACCCGCCTCGGCCTCCCAAAGTGCTGGGATTACAGGCATGAGCCACCACGCCCGGCCCAGACTGGTCTTGAATTGCTGGCCTCAACTGATCTGCCCACCTCGGTCTCCCAAAGTACTGAGGTTATAGGTATGAGCTCCTGTGTCTGACCCCCAATAATACTTTTGAGTAGGGTGTGCCAAGAGGTGGAAGGTCATAATGAACTGGAAATTCTTACAATGCCAAAGTATACAGAGTACTTACTGGGTGTCAAGAAGGAAAACATAATTTTATAATAATGAAATCTGTCATTACTTCAATCTAGCCATCAATCATGGCATCTCTAATAACAGTGAGACAGACAGATATTACGCATCTTTTAAGATGAAGTAGATAGTATCGCCTATTAAGTATTCTTGCCAGAAATGCTTGCACTTAATTAAATTAAGTCTTCACATTATCCTCCAGTTTACAGAAAACACAAGAGATACAGAAACTAAATGAGATGAATCAGAGGAATCCTTCAGATTGGATATTCTCCATAAAACTGACTTGGTCTCTTCAAGTCAATATATCAAAAAGAAAGATTGGAATAGGTGGTGATGATCTAAATTTTCAAAAATGTAAATGAACAACTGAATACAATGCAATCAATGCCAAAGACATTTTTGACACAACTGAGGAAATGTGAACACACACTGACTATTAGGCAATATTATGGAATTATTGTTAAGTGGCAAAAATGATGTGGTAAAGGAAGCAAATGACTTTATGGACATGAATACTGATATATTAAATAGTGAAATGTCACAATTTCTGAGCTTTACTTTGAAATATTTTGTAAGAAAATAAATATGACAAAACATTAACAATCATTAAATACAGACAATAAGCAATGGATACTTATTATTCTATTTTTCTGAATGTTTGAAAATTTTCCCAGGAGAAAAAAGCAAACAGAATGTGAGCCGTAGCTATGAGTAAAATCTATTCTTTCCTTCATAGCTAAGCTTCATAAAAGAAAAATGAAATGCTATGTTGAGGAAGGTTGTTTCTAAGTCAGAACTCAAGATTGAAGAAAATGAAACAACAGAAAGAGAGAGGTTGAAGATAGAGGACAGACGGAATAATTAATGGAGCAAGGACCTGGAAGAGATGGGAATGAATAACATCACTTATTCTGAAGTAGCATTATAAAGGAATAAAACATTGTATTACAAAAAGAGAAAAAAAAAAACATAGCTAAGTCTACAAGCTGGAAGACAGCAAGTTCAGGAAGTCCGAAAATGATGGCCGAATTAAGAATAAGGTAATCTGCTGAGAGTTAAATATGGTAAAAAGGGGATGAGAGCTGGGAAGAACGGTAAGGTTTGAAGTAATCACTGTGAGGAATGAGATAATTAATGACAGCCAATATAAATACACATGGAGGGCCACTGGAAACGTAATTTACTGTCAGCAATCTCAGTAACTATGCAGTAACACTTGGCTACATGAATACAGGATACAAAAGGGCAGAGGAAGTACAGTTGTTCATATCAGAAGGCTTTTACACGTCAGTCTAGAGATCTTGATAAAGCAGAATGCGGAGAGCATAAATAAGAAAGTGAAAGAACCAGGGGGCCAGAAGTCTGATAAGTAAACAGGATAACTGAAATTTCAGAAATGGATTGTGCATATGACAAGATCTAAAAGGAGACTTAGTTACCAAGAAGGTTGGGAAATCTCATTCTCTATCAGACTTTTGAAGTAAAATAAATTCTCTACCTGGCTAGTGTGATTTCAATGTGGTTTTACCAAGTGAAAAAAATCGAGATGATTCCTTCTTATCAGTTATAAGGCGCAGCAGCTTTTTGGTCTATGTGATGTCTCCACATGATGGTAGTTATTTAAAACATATCAACATAATGGTGGTTATTTAAACACCACAAGTAATTCATTAATATAGTTTGTGCAATAGGAATACCCATGGGAGTAGTATGTTATATATGTTAACGTAATTTCACATTGCAGTAGAAAAGACACTGCTAACTGCTAGCATAAAGTATTGTTATCATTTTAAAGCATTTTGTACCATAGAAAGTACAGTATCAGAAAAGCTAACTATGACCTAAGGCTAAGAATTAAGTACCGGAAGCTAGAGAAATAACAGCTATTATTTTAATTAACGCTCTTAATCTGATTCAAAAATAAAACTAATGAACCAAGGCTGTTTATTTTGAACTTTTTTTTTTTTTTTTTTTTTGAGACAGCGTTTCGCTCTTGTTACCCAGCCTGGAGTGCAATGATGCGATCTCGGCTCACCGCAACCTCTGCCTCCTGGGTTCGGGCAATTCTCCTGCCTCAGCCTCCTGAGTAGCTGGGATTACAGGCACACGCTACCGTGCCCAGCTAATTTTTTGTATTTTTAGTAGAGACAGGGTTTCACCATGTTGACCAGGATGGTCTCGATCTCTTGACCTCGTGATCCACCTGCCTCGGTCTCCCAAAGTGCTGGGATTACAGGTGTGGTATTTTGAACTTTTATGACACACATACCAAGAAAAGCTTCATTAGAAAGTAGCACAATAAACAACACTTGGCCAGGTGCAGCAGCCACACCTGCAATCCCAACATTTTAGGAGGCTAAGGTGGGAGAATCACTTGAGCCCAGGAGTTTCAGATCAGTCTGGGCAACATAGTGAGACCCTGTCTCTACAAAAAAATTTTTTTAATTAGCCAGGCATGGTGGTGTGCACCTGTAGTACAACTGTACTTTAGTAGAAACAGGATACCTCCTGTACTCAGGAAGCTGATAGGGGAGAATCACTTGAGCCCAGGATTTCAAGGCTGCAGTGAGCCACGTTCATTCCACTATACTCCAGCCTGGTTGACAGAGCCAAAGCCTGTCTCTAAAATAAACAAATAAATTTTTAAGTTCTCAATCCATACCTCATGTCTATCTTGCTGGTTATGCTAATTTTGAACTTAAGTGACACTTTGGGGTCAAACTAAGAGGAAAAGAATGTCAATGAATGGGACCACACCAGAAAAGTTTTGTTTTGTTTTTTTTTAAATAACAGCATCCTTAAATATGTATATCCATTCCAGACTCCTAATTCCAGTCAATGTGGAAAAGGAGGAAAGTTTTAAAGGTAGTACATGCTAGTCCCATGTACCACTATTAAAGGTAGCACATTCTAACGTTAGCTTTATGTTATATTGAAACCAATATTACCAAAGGAAATAATATAGTTCTATAACCTAAGGAGGAAAACTGTACCACTAGAATATTTTGTCACTTCCACTGAATTTCCAAAAAATATATAAAATACTTACTTTTTCATTTTTTTTGAGTTGTATTTGACTTGGTAAGCTGCTTGGATTAACTTGTCTGGGACTCCATCAAACTGATGTGGAATGACCTTTTGAAAGTGCTAACACACAGTAAAAGAAAAACATAAGAATGCTTTAGTGCTGTTAATAGTGAAACCCAAAGACACTAAAGAAATTATGGACTGTGCATGATGGCTCATGCTTGTAATCTCAGCACTTTGGGAGGCCAAGGCAGGCAGATCACTTGAGGTTAGGAGCTTGAGACCAGCCTGGCCAACATGATGAAACCCTGTCTCTACTAAAAACACAAAAATTAGCCAGGCATGGTGGTACACATTTGTAACTCCAACTACACAGGAGGTTCAGGCGGGGGGTGGGGGGGAGGAGGATCGCTTGCACCTGGGAGGTGGAGGTTGCAGTGAGCCGAGATCATGCCACCACACTCCAGCCTGGGCTACAGAGTGAGACTGCATCTCAAAAAAACAGAAAGAAAAAATTATGAACTTACCTGTAACATCCCTTCCATGTCAAGTTGCATCAGTTCTGCCTGATTCATTTGAAGAAGTGCTAATCCTACCCGAAACACTATTTCTAAACCCTGAGGAAACAAGGAAACAAATTAAATAAATCCAAATTTATCTCACTCTTCCATCAACAAAAACAAGTCATTTCAAATAATACTAAGGTAAACATTTAGGAATCTAAACTAGAGGCTGGCAAACATTTTTTATAAAGAGTCAGAGAGCAAATATTTCCGGTTTGGTGGGCTACACTGTCTGTCAAAATTACTCAGCTCTGCCACTACAAACCCAAAGCAGACATACCTGACATGTAAATATACGGTCAGCGCTGTGTTCCAGGAAAAACTTTATTTAAAAACAAACAAACAAATAAAAAACAGGTGTGGAAAGACAGATTTGGCACAAAAATCTGTCCATCTGATTGATTGGTACATGAATCATACTTGGCCAACTCTGATCTAAACTAATTTAGATAGGTACTACGAATTGATTTTCCCAAGATGTAATTAATAACAACTAATAGGCCGGGCGCGGTGGCTCAAACCTGTAATCCCAGCACTTTGGGAGGCCGAGGCGAGGCGAGTGGATCACAAGGTCAAGAGATCAAGACCATCCTGGTCAACATGGTGAAACCCCGTCTCTACTACAAATACAAAAAATTAGCTGGGCATGGTGGCACGTGCCTGTAATCCCAGCTACTCAGGAGGCTGAGGCAGGAGAATTGCCTGAACCCAGGAGGCGGAGGTTGCGGTGAGCCGAGATCGCGCCATTGCACTCCAGCCTGGGTAACATGAGTGAAACTCCGTCTCAAAAAAAAAAAAAAAAAAAAAAAAAAAACAACTAATATTGAGTTTGCAGACTAGAAAACAAAGGATTACTACTATGTGCTGCTGGCAAAAGGACAACAACCTGAAACGTGTTCATAGAATAGAATAAACATGCTTATTATGTCTTTTCTCTTTGGATAACAGATGCATTGCAACAATATTAACTGTAAGACAAATTTTACGTCTCACTAACTTTCACTGTATCAGTTAGAAGGTGATAAAGAGGTATGATTAACAGTGTAGGCTCCAAACTGCCTATGTTTGAATCCTGGTTACAACATCACTTAATGTATTGTGTGTTCACAGACAAGCTACTTAACCTTTCTCTAAGTCTCAGCTTCCTTATCTATCATCTAATAAATAGAATAAAAACAGTATCTACCTGATAGGGTTATTATAAGGTTTAAATGAGACTATCCATGCAAGCACTTTTGCATGGGACTCATGGCTTTCCTTCATTGCTCTCTTCGTTGCCCTGCTCTCACAAACTCAATGACCCCTTTGCTCAACTCCTGCTCCTTGTCTCTCCGTTAGCTTACCTCAGACATAAAGATATCAAATATTCTTGTTGCAATTGGTAGTGGAAAAGTTGTAAGAAAGATAGTCAGAAACCAGGATGATGCATACATTGAGGTATGAAAACTCTGAGATTGAAAATGTACAAAGAGCTCTGGAAGATGCTCCTAAAGAGAAGAAAATAATTAGTTAAAACATAGTAAAATTGAGCATTTTAAATTAGATCATTACATTTATACTAGATTAGCCTATACCAAACACAAACATTAGTTCAAGCATCATATGGAAAAGGTAAGATGTAGAAATTCAAACATTTGGACATGTGAGTTTTGAATTTTGAATATAACATTTATTAATAAAAAGAAACTGAAATAAAAGTTTTATATTTGTTTAATCCTGTTGGATACATGAGTGACTAATATTTTCTATACTTTTCTATCAACTATAATATTAAAAAAAAAAGTTTAAAAAGAAAAGAAACTGTATGTTAAAATACTTTCAGGCACTATCTACCACTGATCACCTATTCTTACCTTCCTAAAGAATAGGAAAAATACTCAAAATACAGCTGTTCCAGCAACTCTAGTAATTCAAAACATAAATGAGACTTTTTTTTTTGAGACAGGGTCTCACTCTGTCACCCAGGCTAGGGTACAATGGCACGATCTTGGCTCACGGCAACCTCTGCCTCCCAAGCTCAAGTGATCCTCTGATCTCAGCCTCCCAGGCAGCTGGGACTACAGGTGCACACCACCATGTGCAGCTAATTTTAAAAATTTTAGTAGAGACAAGATTTTGCCATGTTGCCCAAGCTGGTCTCGAACTCCTGGACTCAAGCAATCTATTCACCTCAGCTTCCTAAAGTGCTGGGATTACAGGCATGAGCCACTGCATCTGGTCATAAATGACATACATTAATTGAAAATATAACACCAAGAGAGTTTAAGGCTGCTAAAAACAAGCTTACTATTTCAGGAAAAGAGTTAGTTAAGAATCATCTCAAGTCCAGGCACAGTGGCTCATGCCTGTAATCCCAGCACCTTGGGAGGCTGAGATGGGAGGATCACTTGAGCCCAGAAGTTCAACACCAATCTGGGCAACACAGTGAGACCCTGTCTCTACAAAAAATTTTAAAAATTAAAATTAAAAAATAATAAAAAATTAGTCAGCTGCAGTGGTGTACATCCATAGTTTCAATTATACAGGAGGCTGAGGCAGGAGGATCACTTCAGCCCAGGAGGTCAAGGCAGCAGTGAACCATGATTGTGTCACTGTACTTCAGCCTGGGTGACAAAACTAGACTGTGTCTCAGAAGAAAAAAATAAATAAAATAACCTCAAGACCTATTCTGGCTTTTTCTTTAAAATACATAAAAACAAAAAATATGTACCCCATAATGTACAATTATTGTATGTCAATTAAAAAATAAAATGTAAGAACATTTTACATATCCCCTTGCTCCCACCACAGATGGAAAAACAGGAGTTTATAAGGCTGCCAAGAGACAGGAAACTAATAAAAATGGCTCTCATGCCAGCTGAATCATTAACCTACTTTTTAAAATTCTGCTCATTTAATTGAAATTGAAATTTAAATAAATGAAAATGCTTACACTATAGCAAACTTATTTAAATATATAAAATATAAAAATTAAATTCCGGAAAGGTAAAATACTTCAAAGGTATTTTTCTCTTGATTTTTATTCTGTTCCTATTCTCTCCACTTTCATACAGTCACTAGATAACTTGCCTTTAATTAGCAACATAAGAAGAAAACATTACAGGAAAAAAATTACGGGCTAGCAAAAAAGTAAGATAAAAGTAAAAAGGCAGGGGTGAGGACTCAAAGAGACAGATAGTCTCAAAGTAAATGGACTGATGTCAGTGTGATAATATCATAAAGCTCCTGTAAAAGAGCTTAGACTATGTAACAATAATAGGATATAATAAGAAAGTTCATGTGCTTAGGTAAAGGGTTTATAGAACATTTGGCAGAAATGCTTAAGAGGTTTGAATACAAAAACTGGAGTCAAGTTCTAGACTGTGATCTACCTAAAGATAGCACTTCATTTGAAAGTAGGTCAAACTGTATGTTAACCAACCAAAAATCAATCATGTAATTAAAACATTTATTTATTTAAGCACTTTAATGCTTTTAACATTAAATTTGCTTAGTTGGCACTCAGAACAAGATAAGAAAAAATATAAAGGCAACATGTCTTTTGATCAATACTGCACATTTACCTGTATCATACATTCAAACTGGTACATACAAAGGCCCAATTCTGCCATACTTGGTTTAAAAAGTTCACGAAGTCTATAGTCTTGCATTAATTTAACAAATACACAGAAAGCTTCTTCTTCTGGCATCTACATTGAAAGAAAAATAACAACATAGGTTAATGTTCTATGATAACGCAAATAAACCAAATGATACTTAAACCAAGCACCCACCCAACCATAAACACTGAATGGCTGTGTGTTGCAATGTTAAGAGCAATGAGCTAAGAATGAGAAAGTTCCAGTAGTCTCCCATTCTATCACCAAGAATGAGAAGTTGGACAAATCTTACAACATCTGAAACCAACTGCCTCAACTTGCCTCATTCATTAATTCAACCAACAAATACTGATTTATAGTCAGATACTTTTCTCTCTCTGGGTATACACCGGTGAACAAAATAAACATAATATCTATTCTCAAGGAACCTGAACTTTCTAATGGAGGGAGACGGACAAGACATGGAATAAATCAACTAATATATATGTCAGATGGTGATGGATGCTATAGAAATAAAGTAAAGTAGGGTAATAGGGAATGCTGGCAAGACACACAGCTATTGATGTAGATCAGGAAACGTCCCCTGATATGGTAACAGTTAGGCAGAATCCTGAAGAAAGCAAGGGAGCATCTGAGGAAAGAACAGTTCCCGAAGACCAAAGAGTACAAAAGCCCTGAAATGGAATCACACTTGGCATGCTCAAGAAACAGCAAATAGAGAACTACTAAATTAGTATATTATGAGTGAAGGTTATACCATGGAGGGAAATAATAGGGAACCAAAACGCAGAGGGCTGTAGAGGCCACTGTAAGGATTTTGACTTTTACCTTAAATAAGAAAGAAGGTTTTTTGAGGATTCTGAGCAAAAAATTGTATTATGTGGCACAAGCAATAAAAGAACACGTAAATTAAGTTTTCACATTATCTGAAATTGGGGTTTAAAGGTACCAGTTTCACGTTTATGTGTAAATCATTAGGAAATCATACCAAAGAAGATAATGAATGTGAAAGCTCTGTAACGAGCTACAAAGATATTCAGAATACTTAGGCAAATAACTATCCAAATTGTTAAGCCATCTTTCTCAAAATAATAAAATCTGCTAATTAATTCTCATTCATTCTCATTATACCAGTGTGCTTCAAAAGAGAACACCCCAAAGGATCTCCAGGCCTTATTCTTACTGAAGACTGCTGCTAATAACAAGATATTTTCCCTGGCCTTGACACAGCCACGGACAGGAGCCAAGAGTTTCTCTTGGCAAAACCTGCTCTTCCTTTCTCCCAACACAAATGGCCACAATTCTACTTTGGAGACTATCTCTATTAATTCTATCAAGCCCCACAGCCCCTGTGAATTATTTCAGTCACTACGAGAAGCCCCAAATCCCAGGACTCTCATCGTATATGATTTTACTGTTCCCCTAATCTGACCCCATTTCCAACCTTTCCTCAACCTTTTCCACAGCATTTTCTGGAACCCACATTCTGCCATCAACGGAATAGTCTACCTGTATCCTCAATCTTTTTTCCAAATGTTCCTCTCTTCCTTTAGCTGAAATCTGGATCTGTCCTAAGAATACTTCAACACTGGAAGCTGGCTCTCCCCTAAGGTAGTTGTTTTCTTTCCCACAGCATGGAAGGGGACTGAGATTACTGAGGCATAATACATCCTTAGGCGATTTCATCATTGTGCAAACATCATAGAGTGCACCTACACAAACCTACATTGCATAGCTTACTATGCATATGCACCTAGGCTACATGCTATACAGCCTATTGCTCCTAGGCTACAAACCTGTACAGTATGTTACTATACTTAATTCTGCAGGCCAACTGTCACGTGATGGCACATATTTGTGTATCTAAACATAGAAAAAGTAAAGTAAAATAGGGTATTATAATCTTATGGACGCACCATCACACATGTAGTCCACTGTTGACCAAAATGTCATTACACAGTACATCATTATAATTTCCCTTTTTGTCTTACAACAATTTTTTCTCTTTTGAACATATTAAAACAAGTTTCATTCCCTCTTTGCAATAACAATGATATGGGAGCTAGGGGAGAATTTTTTAATGCAACATTTTCAAAAATAAGTTGAGGTAATTTAAAAAAAGAGGAAAAGAAGACAGAAAAAGTATCACTAGGTCCTTCTCAAAAAAAACTGAAACCATGGTGGCAAAATGAAAACATGTGACACAGAGTGGCATATACCAAGCTGCCTTATAGTCATTCCTTTTCCATTAGAAAGAAATCAAGACACTTGAGTCCTAGAGCAATGTGGTGTACATACTTTCACTGTGACTCTGAGCTGATAAGAATCTGTGTCTTTTGCAAAGATCTAATGCAGGTGATATACCAAATTTTATAGGAGTAAGATACACACAAAACATAGTACATATCTAGCACTTTTAACCATTTTGATACAATATATACTAACTTTACAAATTTTATCAGACTCTCTGAGTTACATTTCTAAAGTAAAGTTATGGGAGACAATATAGCATAAGGAATAAGATCATAAACTTTTAAAACAAAAAGAGCTTTTTCTACCTTATGGCCCTGGGCCATAAGTGATCATCATTGTTGTGTTGGTATATTGCTGACACTGACAACAGCTAAGTCAATCACCAAAATATCATTTATTACTCCAATGATAGTAATAATACTTATTGAAGTTAGTATCTCTACCACCATTGCTTGCCCTGTTTTGAAGGAAACTGTGATTCCTAGAGGATTCACAGGATCCAAAGGATTTCTAGAAAGCTAGGTCAGCTGTTGAGAGATTCAGACCTCAAGCAGGAAAAAACTGCTCTTCAGATGTCCAAGAGAAACAACTACTAAAAAGTTACTGTGGAGCTAACAGGAAAATAAAAGGAACAGAACTACAGAAAAATCACTAGACTGATAATAAGGATGTCTTAGTTCGATAACGAAGATCTACCAATACTAAACAATTATATATTAGGAAAAGCATAATTTTCAGTTAGCAATAATCACGCCTTGGATAAATCTCATTGGCTACGAAACTGCCATTGCACAAAGCTGAAAAATCGTAATTCTGTTAAACAACTATACCCTAACATTAACAAATCTAGTTTTGCATTGTATTATTTATAACATAATTCCACTTAGAAATCGATAACCACTGGGAGCACTTCTTATGTGTTCTTACATATGCTGTAACACAATGTAAAAATTATTTTTATTATAAACCTGGTGTCAGAGATGTCTGACACCAGGTTTATTCTACTCAGAAAACAGGTATGTGTATATTCCTGACAGCAACAGAGTTTCAAAACTCAGAGCAGTTGGGAAGTGAAAGCAAAGCATCAGGAAACGGTTTCTGATTCCTACTCTGCTTTTATCTACCAGGATGTGTGATCTTGGGCAAGTCAACGAACTTTCACTGCATTTCTCCTATGTGCCAAACACCATGCTAGGCTTCTACATAACATTACCTCAAATAACCTCCAATAATGAGGAGTAATCTTTTTCTAACCAAGGAAGGAATAATTACAGTGCTGGTAAGAAAATCTTTTTTATATTGTACAACATCTTTAGAAATTTACAGAGAATTTAATTGATCATGGAGCTAAAGGTCTGTTATGCATACCTCACTGTATGCTCTAAAGTAGTGGTACTCAGCCACTTTTACTCCCTCAAGGATATAACTTTGTTACTGAGTAATTTTGCAATGGGTTTGGGTGGGATGTTTTCAGAATTCAGGGGCAGGATAATCATAGCTTTGAAGGGAACTAATCACAACTAATCTGAAAGTAGATAGTATTATCTTATTAAGGCTCAGAGAGAGGTTAAATAATCTACTCTAAATTCATACAGCATGTGCAGAACTGAGTTGCAAAATCATCCTATACAACTCAAACCAAGTCATCTCCATGATTCCTTTTGAGGACTAAAATCTGAGACTAAATAAAGAGTAAGATGGACTTAACATTTCAACGAAGCCAAGGAGATAACACTATATGCCATTTCCCTTCAAAGCTATGACTATCCTATGCGTGAATTCTGAAAACATCCCACCCAAACCCACTGCAAAACTACTCAATAACAAAGTTATATCCTTGAGGGGTAAAAGTGGCTATTTTAGAGCATGCAGTGAGGTATGCATAACAAGCCTTTAGCTCCGTGGTCAATTAAATTCTCTATAAACTTCTAAAGATGTTATATAATATAAGTAAGATTTTCTTACCAACACTTTAATTATTCCCTCCTTGGTTAGAAAAAGATTACTCCTCATTAAATGTTGACAAGTAAGATTTTAAAATACTGTAGATACAAACTTTAGACTATTATAGTAAAAATGTATACATCATGAAGTTAAAATTTCATTTGGCAGTAAGATATTATTGTATGTTATTTTAACACATTTGCCCTTTTAAAGTGCCAACTAAATATCTGTCTTCGAATTATGCCTAGAAAAAATCCCCAATATCCACTTATATTTAATAAAAACAAAGATGCTTTTTAAACTCTCCAATCTACTAAAGAATTTCATTGGACATTTAATACTTATATTAACTTACCTGCATAAGCAACAATCCAACTATAAAAGCACTTCCTTGACAGTAACCAACCTCACGATCCACTAAAGAATAAGCCTAAAAAGTAAAAAAATGTTGTTCAAAATACATGGTAAGTTACACCTTCCTTGACCATTTGTTTTTTAGAAAAGCTCTTGCTTGCTTGTTATAGATGTTATCCTATACATATTTAAAAAGCAAATGTTTTATTACATGAAATTTTGTTTTGACAATTTCCCAATTCAAACTTGGTAGCTCCTGAAGACAATATAATAAAATAAAATAAAGGAATTTGTACTCAGGAAGGTGACAGGGCTTAAACATCAAGTAAAATTTATATTGATGTAGATAAAACTAGACTAGGTTTAAGGCAAAGGACTGGCGAAATGAAATGATTAAACAAGAATCAGTATTTCACAGAGACAGCTGAAAGAGAAAGTAACTGTGGGAAGAGAAATGGCAATATTGAAGAAAAAATGACAATGGTATACCTTTCAAGGGCTAAGTGTTCTAAACAATGCTGGTCACAGCAAGGAGAAAAATTTGCTGACTGTAGGAACTCAGATCTGCCAGGAGAAACCCACATCCCAGGTTCTGAACTTCACAGATGGTGAATTATCCATTTTTATGAGGAGCCCTCTATGGTATGTGATTTATAAGCCATCGCATTTCTATCAACTAATGCTGACTAATGTAGCAAATATTCTAACAAGTCTTCTACACTAGACAGTAATGTAGCATCAGAATTAAGGCAAAAATAATGCTAAAACCAATTTTATTGCCAAAGCAACTGATCACTGTGGTGGAAGGTCATGCTTTATTGTGAAAAATGTGTGATTTCAACCTTCCAGGAATTCATTTCATTTCAAAATATGAATAAATAAAACAATAAAAATAAATAAATGAAACTTACCTTCATTACATTAAATAAAACCTCCTGTCCAAGGCTATCTTTTTCCTTAAAAAAATTGTGCTCAGGATAAGTTCTAGCAATGTCCCTTCGGATCAATTTTTCACAAGGTGAGGTCATTTTCAGTAGTTCTGAATACTGATCCTTAATCGGCATACTTTGTGCACTGCATAAAAGTTGCCAAACTATTGCTCTAAAGTGATGAGGTATCCCTTTACGGACAAGTTCCTAAAAATACAATAAAATTTTTTAAATGAATTATTTAAGCCTATCTTGCAAGCAAAGAAGACTTATTAGGGGGTTGGAATGAAGTGGAAGACTTCATCAAATTTGTAACTCACAAAACTAGCTTTATAGTAAAACTAGGGAACCCTTTAAGCCAAGGGTAAGACTGGGCCCTGGGTGTATCCTGTTCTGGTCAGAGGCTTAATAATGGTCATTTCACCTCAGTGTGTGGCCTCTTAAGGTAATGGACCTGAAACCTACAAAGCTGTGAATGATGGTACAGTACCCATCATTCAAAGGGCTACTGAAGACAAAAAAAAGAAAAAAAAAAAAGTAAAATACTGTAATTCAAGAATTCAGGATATTACAACTTCATTTCTGAACCTATATAATTAGAGAATTTAATTTCTAAAACAATTTTCAGGCTGGGCAAGGTAGTTCATAACACTTTGGGAGGCCGAGGCAGGAAGACTGCTTGAGGCCAGGAGTTTGAGACCAGCCTGGGCAACAAAGTAAGACCCCATCTCTACAAAAAAGTGAAAATAAAAAATTAGCCAGGTGTGGTGGCACACACCTGTAGTCATAGTTACTCAGGAGCCTGAGGCAGGAGAACAGCTTGAGCCCATAAATTCGAAGTTATAGTGAGCTATGATTGCACCACTGCACTCCAACCTGAGCAACAAAGTAAGTCTCTATAATAAGTAAATAATTTTCAGCTGTATATTATATATTTCTACATTATCAGGACCTCTGTAACAACTGATGTCTTCAAATTAAAATTTCTAGGGGGGAAAGTAAGTGAAAACAAATAAAGCAGATCCCTTTAATATATAGCTTGAAAGCTGTCAGAATTTGGGTTTTTTTTTTTTCTAATACTCTATTAAGTTATGCCTGATGCACTTTGGAATAAGAATAAGAACGTCAACAAAGAACATGAATACCTTAACTTGTTTTTCCTTTTTTTTGCGTACATCTTCCCATTCATTAACAATTCTTCCCCAAAGAATCCAAGAATCTTCTTCAAGGTGACTGAGGTTGCTAGAGGCTGATGAACTCGACACAAGAGAAGAGCCACTGTTTCTTCTTGACCCATTTACAGATCTTAAAGATTTACTATCCGTTTCTAACAATCTAAAACATAATTAAAAACTGTTCAAGATCTAATCTAACAGTGATATTAGAAGAGGCAGTGATGATACTTAGAGCTTGACTCTGTAATTTAGCCACTTTTAAAATACAGTTTTAATAATATACATGATTTAAATAAATTTTGGTTGGCATCAATAAAATTACTGCTATTTTTTCACCTATCATAGTGGTTTGAAAATTTGAAAAGCAAATTAAGTGAAATATTTTTGAGTTACTAGTCCCATTATAATCCCCCTTCATTTCCATTAAAATTTCTATTTGGGGGATATCTGATGAGAAAAGTAGATGGGTAGGATTCAGGAAAATAGAACTTACACTTGGAAGAGATACAATAAATCTACGAAATAACTAATCCTAAAATGTTTACAATATGTCCAAGCTTAAAAGTAAGGCAGAGCCCCCAAAATTAACCAAATCACTTCTCTTTCTTCATTTTGCTTCACACATGCAGAACTAATCTGCCCAAACAAAAAGTATTTATGTGGCCCATGCAGTGTTTGTGTAAAAAACTGAGCTATTACTAATACATTAAAATTGGAGGATTTCATGTATTTGCTTATATGCATTTATACCTTATTTATAATTCTAGATTCTCCTGAAAAATAAAAACATAAAACCAGTCTACACTCCTGCACAGTAATAACAGGAAACAGCTGTGTGGGAGCTTCTTCCTTCAAATGCAGGACTTTAATCTGATCAATTTCCATAATCCCTACAGTTTCCCCTAAAACTCAGACCGGCTAACAGCTGCTTTTTATTACTGGGCTTACACTGTTAAACTGGGACCTCTTCACTCATGAAATCCCTGTTGACTTTTGAGCTTGCAACCCTGTATTAGGCCTCCTCCTTATCTGATGAAAGATGGGTTAAGATAATTTTCAAGAGCCAATCCATGACTAACCACAACATTAAGTCTTTTATTTCTTTCACATATGCACCAGCTATAAAGGAAGTTTGGAAAATGTGGCTCTATCACTATTTAACAGAGCTACTACTCACTTTCAGTAATTCTTCCAGGAAAAGTCATTTGCTTAGGGTACAACAAATGCTCACAATACTAATTCATAAAATACAAAAGCTGAGAAAGAAAAGAAACATATAGAGGTTGAATCCTATTTAGCAGATTATTAGAAGCACCCTTTGAGAGCCAGATTTATATGTGACTCCTCTTTATATCCCTTAGAACGTTTAGTTCAATACAAAGTATATTAACTATCGAAATAAAATAAAATCGTAAGTCCAAAATTTTAAAATTCCAAATTCCAGGTATGTCACATTCAGTAACACAACAGTATAAACTGAACAAACAAATTCTATCCCTATTGAGGGAAAATTTAACATATTTTCATGGCAACAATGATTAAAATAAAATTTCCCAAATATTTCTAAAAACATAAAAACATACCAAACAGCCAAGGTAAGCATCAACTAATTACTATAAATAATTTTACTTGAGAAAAAGAATTAATTTAGAACAAGGTTCCTGAGGAAAAAGATAAAAAAAAGAATTAATGATGATATTTTACTTTAAATAATGTTTTTAAATACATATTATTTCAGCAAATCCATAATATATTTTATGGAAAAATAAGGTTACCTAAGTAATTTTCCATATGATTCTAAGTCCTAAGAATTGTAGATGGAATAGAGAAACAAATTTTACTCAAATAATCTAAATCTTAGTTCTTTGCTTCACTTATTTACTGAATGCTTGCCACATCTCAATTAAATTGCATCACTATCAACAGAGATATGCAGTTCAGAGAAAGAAATGGTACTTCCCAAGTTAAACCTAAGTTCGAGGTGTAATGAAAGTCTAGATGAAGAAGTGCCTAAACAGAAGGCTTTTAGAGAATCAAAAAGTCTTGGATTGCTGAGTTATTAATACAACTTCTAGGATGGGCAAGAATATTAAGTGAATTCATAGCATTCGTGGGTTAGAGATGATTAAGCAGACAACCTTCCAAGAATATGGAAATAGCACATCCAATTATACAAAGCTGTGAGGAACATTTACAAATAAAACATCTCAAGACATTATACAATTTAAAGATACTGTCCCTGCTTTATCTCATATCATATGTAAAAATGATTTCAAGTGTATAAGCCTAAATGTAACAAAACTATAAAACTCCTAAAAACAAAATATAGGAAAACCTCTTCACAACCTTTGGGGTAGGTAAAAATTTGTTTACAGGACATAAAGAAATAGTAACCATAAAAGAAAAGATTAGAAAACTGGACTTCACCAAAATTAAAGAGTTGTGCTCCTCAAAAGATATTATTTAAAAAAATGAAATGGCAAGCTAGACCAGAGACTGAGGAAAAAAAAAAGTCTCAATACAGGTATCTGACAAAAGATATACAGAATATATGAACCATCCTTAAGGTCAACAACTAAGAAGCCAGCCAAACACCACATTTTAAAAAATGACTAAGAGATGTAAACTGATACTTTCCAAAAAAGATAATCAAATAGCCAGTCAGTACTTGACAAATGTTTAACATCTTTACTTATCATGGGAAATGCAAGTTAAAACCAAACTACATACATATTAGAATGGCTACAATTCTAAAGACTGACCATACCAAATGTTGGCCAGCATGGAAGCAATTGTAACTCATATCAAAATTAAAAGTATAAAATAGTATAACACATTTCAGAACGGTTTGATAATTCCTCACAAAGTGAAAATACATTTCCATGTGGTCTAGCAAGTTAAATGAGAACATATGTACAAAGAAGATATAGTTGAAAGTTCATAGCAGCTTTATTCACAATAGCCCAAAACCAGGTACAATCCAAATGTTCAGAAAAATAAGTCATCAAATTGTGGTACATTCATTCACTGTGATACTATTCAGCAATAAAAACAAAGAAACTACTGACACATGCATCAACATGGATGAATCTTATAGATGTTGGGTAGAATGAAAGAAGCCAGGTACAAAGGGGTACATACGATATGATTCCATCTATATAAATTTCAAGAACAAGCATAATATAGAAGAAAATACAAGAATAAATCTTCATGACTTTGAGTTAGGTAAAGCCTTCTTAAATATGATCAAATGCACATGTGACAAAAGAAAAAATAGATACACTGGAATTCATAAAATTAAAACCATTTTGTACTTTACTGGCTACCACCAAGAAAGTGGAAAGACAATCTACAGAATGGGAGAAAAGTACTTGCAAATCATAAAGGACTTGTATCTAGAATTTATAGAGAACCCTTACAAATCAATAATAATGTGATTTAAAAATGAATAAAAGATCTGAATAGACATTTTTTCCAAAGAAAATGGCCAATAAATATGTAAGAAGATAGTCAACATCACTAGTCATCAAGAAAAAGCAAACTGAAAACACAATGAGATACTTTACAACCATTAGGTTAGTTACAATCAAGATGACCAACAACAAAAGTGTGAGAATATAAAGACAATGGAACTCTCATACACTACTTGTCGGAATGTAAAATGGTACAAGCACCTCAGCCTGACAGTTCCTCAAATGATAAGCACAGAATTACCATGACTCAGCAATTCCACTCCTAGGTACATACACAAAAGAAATGAAAATTTATATCCATCAAAAACTTATACACAAATGTTCATAGAAACATTATTCATGATGCGAAAGAAAGAGAAAGAAAGGAAAGTCCAGGCCGGGCACGGTGGCTCACGTCTGTAATCCCAGCACTTTGGGAGGCCAAGGTGGGCGGACCACGAGGTCAAGAGATCGAGACCATCTTGGTCAACATGGTGAAACCCTGTCTCTATTTAAAAAATTAGCTGGTCATGGTGGCACGTGCCTGTAGTCCCAACTACTCAGGAGGCTGAAGCAGGAGAATTTCTTGAACCCAGGAGGCAGAGGTTGCAGTGAGCTGTGATGGCACCACTGAACTCCAGCCTGGTGCCTGGCGACAAAGCAAGACTCTGTCTCAAAAAAAACAAAAACAAAACAACAACAACAACAACAACAATTAGCTGGGTGTGGTGGCATGCACCTGCAGTCCCAGTTACTCAGGAGGCTGAGGCAGGAGAATTGCTTGAACCCAGGAGGCGGAAACTGCAGTGAGCCGCGGTTGTGCCACTGTACTCCAGCCTGGGCCTGGTGACAGGGCAAGACTCTGTCTCAAAAAAAAAAAAGGAAAATCCAAATGTCCATAACTGATGAATGAATAAACAACATATGGTATAAACAAACAATGGAATATTACACAGCCATGAGAAGGAATGATGTTCTGACACATGCTATGACATCACTGAACCTTGAAAACATTATAATGAAGCCAGTCACAAAAGGGCACATATTCCATGAATACATTTACATGAAATATCTAGAATAAAGAAAATAGATCAGCAGCTACTGAGGACTATAGTAGGGGTGGAGGTAGTCAGGGAAACACGGGCTGCTAATGAGTGTGCAGTTTCTTTTTGGAGTGATGAAAAAAATTCTAAAATTGATTGTGTTGACAATTGTACAATTCTGTGAGTAAACAAAACACAATTGAACTGTACACTTTAAGTGGGTTAATTAAATATATGGGATATAAATATCTGAATAAAGCCATTATTCAAAAAAGGACAGGTAGAAGAGAAGTTTTGACAGAGGGTGGAGTTGCTAGAAAGGACACAAAGGAAATTTCTGAGATGATGGACATTTGCTAAGATGACAGAAACTTTCTAAATCTTAATAGGTTTGTGGGTTATACACAGGTATAAACACATGCTGAAATTCAAACCCTATACTTAAGAACTATACATTTGTCAGCCAGGTGCGATGGCACGCCTGTAATCCCAGCACTTAGGGAGGCCGAGGCAGGCGGATCACGAAGTCAGAAGATTGAGACCATCTTGGCTAACACGGTGAAACCCCATTTCTACTAAAATACAAAAAATTAGCCGGGTATGGTGGCACTCTCCTGTAGTCCCAGCTACTCAGGAGGCTGAGGCAGGAGAATCACTTGAACTTG